CGGACAGGAATCGAACATTTATTCCTGTTTTTCTTTTCCAATTATGAAAACCACTTGTGCCTTATTGTTGAATTAAAGGAAAATTCATCGTTTCAAAATGACTTTACGTTTTGGGAACGGAAATAAAGTTAGTAGTTACAGAATTAGGAGGTATGGTTGAGTAATGGATAGCGACTCGGATTGAGGAATCGGAGAGCCGAGTTCGAATTCACTTACGTGCTAATACTCTTAGAAAAGGTATGAATCCTCTTCTTCTCCTCCCCACCCTTCAGCTATGGGTAAATAGCAGGACAGACCTGCTTCTATAGCCTTGGATGGCAACTGGTCTACTGTAGAAAGAAATGGTAACCTACTGCGGGAAAAATCTACCCCGTCAGTCATGTATCGAAAAGATCGCCTAAGCGTGTATCACGTACGGCACATAACTGAGTTATAGAATTGGAAATATTCCAGCAAGAGGTGAGCATTTCTCAAATAGGGTATTTGATCCTTGCTTTGCTATAGAAGCTGTCTTTAAAAAAAAAAGGCTGGTCAGGTCTGGTCATTTGGGCGCTCATAAAGTGGTTTAGCCGAAAACGACTTATTATCTCTTCGTAACTAAGTCTTTTTGGGTGCCTCTCTATTGCTACTCTGTAATGACTGCAATTCTCACTGATTACTCTATATTTCTATCATTGTGCCAAATGCCCTGGACGCCTCGCTCTCTGGTTAATAGTTATCGATATAGTCTAACAGATTATTGCTACTGTTTATTTATTTCAATTCTCATTGTGTGCCCACACTTGTAACTTAGTTTAGACAAGACGATTTATAAATACTCTCTCTCTCTCTCTCTCTCCCTCCCTCACAAAGACACACAATTACTCACTTAGAGTTCTAAACTAAAAGACACGTTAGATAATACACATCCGTTTTACTCATAAATATAAAATGCAAAAAAAAACCCAAAAAACAAAAAAAAACAAAAAAACAAAGCCTAAAGCTCTCATCATTAAAGAAACAAGAAAAACCTACCAAAGCCAAACAACCTTATTGAAATTTCAACAATAAAAATTAATAATAATAATAATAATAATAATAATAATGAAGAAGAAGAAGAAGAGGAAAGAAGAAGAAGAAGAAGAAGAAGAAGAAGAAGAAGAGGAAAAAATACACCAATAACCTTATACCCATACGAGTGTGGCATGTGGTTCCGGCCCAGGGGCCACGTAAACCACTTATAAGAGGTTGGCCATAAAAGAGGAACATCTGCATTAAAAGCTGTCACTTGGCGATAAATCAATTGGCTACGAAGAAGAATAAAACGTAAATATTTGACGAGTCTGACACGGCGCCGATTTATTCTTAAGGCTCTTATATTTTGTTTAAAAGCGTAGGAGTGAGGGGGGGGGTTACGTAACCAGTGATGAACAAAGAAAATAGATAGATAGATAGATAGATAGATAGATAGATAGATAGATAGATAGATAGATAGATAGATAGATTGTAAGTATTAGAAAAACAAACCCTGTAAGCAAGTTCTTTGATGTACAGTGATAAGTAGGAATCCCCTACATGACAGGAGTGGGCCCCAGGTTTGATAGAGGCAGATAATCAGTTACTGACTTTTACATTTTTCAGTCTTCAACTGTTTCATGAAAAAAATGAAAAATAATTATTTATATTTAAGTTCCTTGAGTTGATGATTGCCAGATATCTTGACAAAACGTCTCGTTACTGGCATGCCCTAGTTATTGTAGGAGACAAAAGTGGGTGAAAAAACAGTTGCGCAAAATAATCTTTTTTGGCAGTCTCAACTTAAGTAGACGTAATTACCTTAAAACAACTTATTAACCTGTTTTCATCTGGCATCAGATTAATCTGACTTACTTCTTTTCTTTCCATATATATTTTGACGATTTTACGTAAAGTGCTTAGAGATGAAATTTAAATTTTTATTATTGCATTATTCCAAAATTTTAACACATCATCAGGTAGCTATTAATGTCAACAACTGAGCACAAATAGTTATTACTTTAAAAAAATAGTAATTAATGTATAATATTATCCATAACTACATCTACAAGAATGTCGTTTTTGATAAAAGTTAAAAAATAACCATAAATACGTAAAAAATGCGTATATTGCCGAAGATTCCTTTTTCCACAATATAGCTATTTGTACTTATAATAATGTTTATTACCTAAACAATAATAATACTGAATAAAAAAATTTTAAGCATTAAATTATATTTAATCTTTCCAAAACTTTTCCAACATATTTCAGTGAAATTCTCATTCTCCAAAATTATCGTTGATGTCAGTAAGATATGGGTTATGGGGCGTTGTAGAGAGCAAGGCAAACTAACGCCACTACAATGTCAAGAACTCGTTGAAGGATTTCATCCCTGGTGTGATATCCAACACGAACAAGAACAACCTACTCCGGGATCGGAATCGCTTTCGAGGTCGCATGGACATCTTCCTCAAAGCTGAGAACTATTTTAATGAATAACATTTTATTTTTTTCTAAGTTCAACATGTGTACATTTTTTTATGAATATAATGATTTTTTTTAAACATTTTTGTTTTTCTGTATTTCTGTTATAATTTGTTTTCAATTTGCAAGCTAAGTGTGTGTGTGTGTGTGTGTGTGTTGGAGATTATCATACCAGCCAGAATTCTACCTCACGCCGTATATTGCTCTGATGTAAACATTTTTTAATTAATTCACCTCCCAAGCAAGGCAATAAAGCCACTAGTACATATGGGGTTACTGGGTGTTAGAGAATATGAGAAAAACTACCATTAAGGAGAGAAAACAATAATAGAACACAGAATATAACGTTTGACATTGCATTTAAATTTTTGAAGATCAAAGTTAACTAGGAAGCAAGAAGCCGGAAGAGAATTCCACAAGCGAGAAGTGCGATAGGGGAAACTGTTAGCATAGAGCACACGGTTATATTTAGCCATTTCAACTGCGAAATGATGAGAATTTTCCGCCAAGTCTAGTACTGCACTTAAATTCATTAAGTCTAGGTACCCTAGAGGAAAGTTCATCAGAACAATTACCATGAAATTGTTCTGATGAACATGAATAGTTGTATGTATGTGCGTGTGCGTGCTAATACTTTGGTGTGTATAGATGTGTTTGCACAATATTTACTGTTACTCATCAAAATACATGAATAAGCCTTGTAAATTCACACATCCAACTTGGTGAAAAGTGCATTCAAAGTAAATATTTCCAAATTAAATCGATCAATGAAATCGAATTTACTTTTAACCTGTCAAATCTGACACTAAACCCTGTTCGTCACGTTCAAAGTCAGAATCGAAATTACTTATTCTTATTCCCGCCCTTGTAAAGAGAAAGTACTCTCAATCACTCACTAAAGTGAAATAAAGGCTACTAATCCTAATATTCATTTTATCCCTGACAACATTGAGTTACTTTGCCATCTATACAATAACTGTCTTTTCCAGGTTTATTTAAAATAGACAAGAAAAAGAAAAAAGTCATCGCATACTTAAATCCGTTTTCATAGCAATGCTTAATCTCTGTTGTAACTCATCAATACGTTCAATAATCTGTTGGGCATACTGCGCTGTATTAGGGGATTATTCCTTGTGAAATCTCGTGACCGGAAATTCCACCATCGCTGAGTGACGAATAATCCGTAAATGTGGTGAGGATTTAAAAATTGCTGTTTGCCAAAACTCACTGACGCTAACGCATCAGATTAAGACGACCTTCTCAAAAGCCATGAAGGGTTGCGACTTTGTTTCGTGTGGGTTATGAATGTAACTGGGGGTCACTTTATAAGGTTTTGTTGTGGGTGGTGTATATGGGATTTCTTTTCCTTTTAAATTGTCGTTGTCTGAAAATGAAACAAAAAATGATGAATACATTTTAAATACCTATTCCCAAACAACAATGATAAATCTGATAAAATATACAAGCTTGTACGAAGACAAATATGCACATTTTTGTTTTTATTCTATTTATTTATTTGACAATTTTCTATGAATTTTGAATGAAAATAACATTGAGGGTTCCCGCTGTTCATTTTATTTGAAACAGTTAAAACATTGATTTGGAGTCCATTATGTCAGCTAAACTTTTCTTCTCACGTGCTTTTTACTTATTACACTAAAATATCCTATGTGAACGTTTCCAGTCGTAACAGACTTGCCCCATCTATATTAAGGTGCGGTTTATCGGCGCGGATAAGGAAATTGGTGAGCTGAGTTCAAATCCAAATATAATTTGTTGACTTCACATTTTTGCACTAACCCACTTGGTAAAAGCATAAACTGATCTTTTCTCTTCCCCATCTATGGGTTAAATAGCAAGGTAGACTGATCTCTCTAGCGTTGGGTAGCAACCAGGCTAAGGAAAGAAAAACACTGAATTCTGAACCATTATCTTTTCTAAGAAATCATGGTAATTCCTATATAATAAAAAAACCAGCCTTGATTGCCGACATCTTAAAGCAGTGGTTCTCAACCTTTTTTGTCCAATGCACATTTTTCACCATTAGTCAGCATGTTATCCCCCCCACACACACTTTCCAAGATTGTCCAACTCAGAATGTGAATTTCAAATAATATTTATATATCATTGAAAATCTTCATCCCTTTCTATATACATTTACGTGGATTCTATTTATAGATTTTTACAAATTTAAGAGCAATAGAAAATATTGACGGATTTTTTAAACTTGAATACATGTATAATAATTTGTTTTAATTCATAACTATTTAATAAATAATTTTATTTACTCTTATTTTTTCAGATGCACATTAGATGTAGCCACGTATCGGAGAGTGAAAGCAAACCCAGTACCTTCAAGGGTTCGGCCTTGGTGTCAGCTTTACTTGAGATCGACCGGAAGCGCTTCCAGAACCGCGCAGTCGCATTACACTTCGCGCGTCGCCTTTTTCGCCTCGGCCTCGTCCGCAGCATTTTCGGCGCCAGCAACTTCGAAGATTCTGTTCAAGTTTATTGTTGGCACAATGGCAACGACGAAGAAGTCCACAGTACGGAGCCACGGCGCAAAAGCAGCCCTAACGTCGCCCAGCGGTCTTCTTGGATGACTAATGCTGAATCTAGTCCCCCATTGTCGAATAATCTTCCTAATAGTTATTACAATAGTATCCATAGCAAGCGTTTACATTCTAGTCCTCATCACACAGACCAAACCCACACGCTTTCAAAGAACCGACCTCATGTTGACAGTCAGTTTGTGAATATCGTGAGAACGAAATTACTAAGCATCGGCGAACCTACCACCCCTAAATTCATATCCATATTCAGATACCTTGGAAAGTAATCAAACCAAATTACGAGCAGGTAAGAATAATTGCCTTTATATATATATATATATATATATATATATATATATATATATATATATATATATATACGTGTGTGTGTGTGTCTGTGCGTTTTTTTCTGTCCATAACAATAAACTCGCCCATCCTCGAGTAATTATTAGCAATCTAGTCTCACCACTGAGGAGTAATAACAAAATTCTTTGTTATCGGAGCACGAGGCATACTCGACGTCATTTGAAGCGTGCTGACGTTGTGTCACCGCAACAACGGATTCTTTTCTTTAATTTAAATTCATTTTTAGATAAATAATCATCATTATTATATGCTTCGCTATTTGGAATAGCATGCTCACCTTGATCACACAACGTCTCGGTCGATTTCCTCTCCTTTCCTTTATTCTCCGCGGTCGATTTACTCTTCCATTCTTCTCCATACACCCGGAGAAGAATGGAAGTCATAACGATCGAAACGTTACGACTATAACAACGAAGATGGGGACAGTTTATATAAATCAACGCTTGATGAACATAATTCCTAATGTCAGAAATTGATTTAATTTTGTGATTATAACAACAAAGATGACGACATCAGTTCAAATCAATCAGTGTACAATAATTTGTCATTTTAGAAACTTGTGTTGTCTTTATAACAGATTCACACGACTGATCGAGTTTCCGCTTGGGTAAAAATCACAAAAGATCAGATGGATGACATATAAGACGAGCGTGTACCTTAAGAGAATAAGTACTTTAAACATTGAATCCTCTCGTTATAATGAAAGACTCCCGACATACTCTCAGTGTGTGCTTGGTCTAATGAACTCTTAATACTTTGCTAATCAGATACATATATCATCTCTATGAAAACGTTATCTGCATTGCAAATATGATTGTACAGAAAGAATGCTCTTCTTCCATATACCTATGTTTTCATCAACAGTGGACCAGACAAAACAGAATTAATAACACTCATATGTATTGCTTTATCCTTGATAGCCTCATGTTATTTTGGAAGTAGATATAAATATTTATGAGACACCGAAACTTATTTGCTGCTGGTAGCATATAAGTCACTATACTATGTCGCATGCTACTTTAAGAAGAGAAGAGCGTTGCCAAACAAATCTTCTGCTGTAGAGGTGTTGTAAATGTTGGTACCTCGATGAGGAGTCCGCAAACGTTTAAATCATCGACCCTTTCGTGGAATCCTCGTTCCCTTATTGACCCACAGGTATATACAAAAAAGATCAATAATAATTATTTTTTAATTAAAGGTAGAAATTCTTTTGCCCTTTCTGTTCATTGTTTCCCGATAATATTCATTTTAGATTTATGTCTTGTTATTGATTTTTTATTTTCTCTTTCTCTTCCTATACTAGACATCTTTGTTATTTTTATAACAACTAGGAAAAACCGTGAAAATTTTACGGTTTCTCTATTTGAACCTTAAGGAAGTTAATGATTAAATAACCTCAGATCGAGTTCTACGACAATAAAATATCCGTAGAAATTCCCCTATAGCATCGTTAAATATTTGAGCTTAACTTTAATAAAATTGCAATAACAATCAAAAATATGAATGCTGGTCATTATTTTAAGAAGTGGGTAGAAATGAGAAAACTTGAAATTCATAACTTTTTCCGTTTCACTGGAACAGCCATTAAACACTCTATTTTCACATCTTTCTTTCATTTTCTCACTGAAACCTCCTCTTTCTACGTGATCAAAGCAGAATAGTCCATTATTTATGAGGTATTGGCAGTACGTAATGGCTGTGCAAAGTAACGAAGAGATGGATAGGTACAATTATAATAAAATAATGGAGAAGAAATTAATAAATAATAAAAATAATAAAAATTAAAAATAAATTAATATACTTTTTTTGAATTGGTTGACATATTGGATATGCCCATGGACCCATAGTCAACCAATTCAATATGTCAACCAATATGATATCAACCACTTTGGGGAGCCCTGAAATAGCTCGTGTGAATAACCAATCAATAGGCCTCATCCGCCAACAAAGCTACAACAGTGAAATATGCGTTGAGAATGGCACTCACTAACAGTGACTTGTTAAATTAGCTTCTCAACCATCGCCTTACGGAAGATGCATGGGCGTCTCCTACAGTTGGACAGTTGGGGGTCAACAGGGTATCATCTGTCAAGTGCACCACCTAACATCTCGTTTATCCAGTGGGTTGCACTCGTACACTACAAAATACAGTACCATGACAGGTGAAATGCCTAGTGTGTAACAATATATATAAAACAGTATTCGGAATACTTCTTTTTAAGCCCCCATCGTTGAAAATTCACAACAGACGCCAATGAGTAGTCATTTGCTTGTTTAATATATGTATAGTATTTTATCATCATTTTCCGTTCTACGCTCACAGGTTTCTAATGTTTATATATAGTTTTTACGAGGTCACATACGTCTATACCAGGTCAAAGGTCAGGAAATGGATCACAGATGTTTATAATCATGGCAGAACGAGTCCTTAATATTGAAATGGTAAGATTTTAAAGACTCTCTCACGTTATACAAATCTACTATATATATATATATATATATATATATATATATATATATATATATACTAGCCGAGGTACACGGCGTTGCCCGGGTGTACATGGCTGCAATTGTATAACCGCACCCTACTGTATACATGCACCCCCTGTATAGAAATCTCTGCCTGCGTCCCCGCTTGCATGCATCATTCGTTGGTATACTGACCTACTCCTCCACCTCATCATTTTTACGGTATGTCCTTCACAAGTGTTTAATTGTTCTTAATAAAGGAATTCCATCAATAAAACCTTCTTGTGTGGTCGTTGCTCGGGGTTAAATTGTTTCAATGTTTTAGATAATCAGTAAATTTCCTATGGTGGTAGTAAATTTCAAATAGTATGGCATTGTTCACAAATCTAATAATCAAACAAAAACAGGGATGAAGCGTCAGAGCTTGATTCAACTGCAAGTGCAAAAGCATGAACGCCCCCTCCTTCTTCGCACGTTTAATGTACAGCTGGGGTTAATAAGAGGTTCTTCGGGAATTTTTCCCTTTTAACGCTTCAGTAACCTTTCTCAAACAATCTTTGCATCAAAGGTTGTGCGAATGCCAATTTAGGATAGAATCATATGAAGAAACTATTGGATAAATGGAAAAAGCTAATTTTGGGTCTAGTTGTCGTAGATTTCGTCCACTTAAAAATAATCTAAGCCAATCATTCACGCAAAACAATATGTAATTAACATGGCAAATTTCGAAAGCATCGGATTTTGAGCAGTTTTTCGTTATACCCGGAGATGCGAGCAGTACTAAAACTACACTATCTTATTTTTTGCATGATGGCAAATTTTTGCGATATGTTTGAACAAAATCCGATAAAAAATGAGGAAGTTATTCAAGTTTTTATTTTAAGTTGTACAAAAACCCGATTTTTTCACATTTTTTGTATGAAGCCAATGTCGCAGGAAAACTCAATTACTCTACCTAAACCTCGTAACATGAGCATTAAGTGCAAAGAACATCATCCATTAAAAATTTTCTTCGCATGTAACTTTGCCTTGGTTTTTACAAAAAGCCGTACCCACTTTCAGTTTTATCGATTTTTTTACCAAATCCGGAGAGCCTAGAACAGAATTGGTAAATTTGCAACATGTGTGTACAATTTAATCGAAATCGGTCGAGAAATGTTGACGTGCATGAATAGCACACACACACACACACACACACACACACATACAGACGCCCAGACAGGCACACACAAAGACAGACACAGGAACAGACATCTGTTTTATATATATATATATATATATATATATATGAATAAGGCATATTTAGGTAGCATGTATTCATACAAGGAAGTTTGTTTAAAAAGAACCTACAAGGTATGTCTGTCTAATTTTTTTTATTGTATTTTTCCAATATTAGAATAAAGTTTTGAATATTGTGCTCAAAATTGTAGATAAACTACCCAAAGTACATATTTTGTTGCTGTTTTTTTTAAAGAAATGCCTTCTTTTGGTGCGACCTCTCGTTCTCAGCAACCGTTCCACATGACGACACTGTAGACTGTTTCAAACTCTCGGGTTTCTAAAGAATACCAGGATGTAGACAATGGATTATACATCACATGGTTCTTGAAAATGACCGAGATGGTCGAAAGTCCTTGAAACGATAACAAAATATGAACCTCGGACAATTTATCCCCAATTTCGAGTATAATACTCAACACCTTATTCTAAAATTTAAAAAATACAATAGGAATTAAACAGACAGACCTTGTCAGTTCTTTTTTAATTTACACACACACACACACACACACACACACACACACACATATATATATATATATATATATATATATATATATATATATATGATGGACTCTCCCATCGATTTCGACGTATGAGGATCGTACAACTACATTCAGTTTTTATGTTTGTGTCGCATGTGAGATTTCTGCTAATGACCTCCTGACAAGTCCACATATTGTGCAACAGCGAGGATCACTGCACACGGCAGCAAGAACATTTCGCTGTTGATTTTCGCCTCTTAACCGGTCAATACGGCAGATTTCGTAATTTCTGATACTACTCTGGCATACGTATCTTCAGTTATTTCTATCCAAGGCAGCTCGTTCGAAGTTAGTATAAGGCACATTGACAGTTATTCTTTGGCTTATCTTTATATCTGAGCCACGGCCTTCCAACATTCCTTTGTCCACTGTCTATGCAAACTTTAAGTATCCTGTCAAATAATATACAAAAACCGAAAATGCTATTCATAACAGGTTCGGAGGTTTTTGTATATTATTTGAATTGTTTGCGACGATGGATTTCTCGCCAATTAAATCATTAACCTTTGCATTTGTTTTGTGTGAATAATTCATGAATTTTTAAATTGATTGCACGTTTATCGAAATTAAAATAACTGATCCAAGTGCGACTTTTGGATAATAAGTGCGACATTACTGTAATTATTGAACAATATAGTTCATGCCACTTTGACAGAAAATTTACCAGTCAAAAATTCGCTTATCACTATATTTGTACAAGAACGCACAACTGTAAAAATTTTAAATCAAACTCAGCGTTGCTACTGCACGCTCCAAAAACAATAACTCATTTCCAATAGCATTTTCGGATACAACAATACATATATTTTCGTTGTCCTCTTATTACTGAGAGAAAAAACAAGAACAACATCTATTCCATTCCTGAAGATGTCTGTAGGAACAGACGAAAGCTTGTAGTAAAAATAAGAACTAATGCAGCAGAAATTTATAGAAACAAGGATCTTTTCATTCATAACAGGTTCGGAGGTTTTTGTATATTATTTGAATTGTTTGCGACGATGGATTTCTCGCCAATTAAATCATTAACCTTTGCATTTGTTTTTGTGTGAATAATTCATGAATATATATATATATATCTTACTTATTATAAAACGCAGATTGTGTGTGTGTGTGTGTGTGTGTGTGTGTGTGTGTGTGTGTGTGTGTGTGTGTGTGTGTGTGCGTGTGTGTGTGTGTGTACGTTTATATATTGGATCGGATTTCCTACATTTTTCAACCGATTTCAACAAAACTTCACAGGACTACATAAAATTACCTTGCGGTGGTTCTGACAGCGTCAAAAATTGGAAAAACACAATTGTTTTTGCACGAAATCAATTTGAAAACACGATAAAACATGATTCTGTCGCCAGAATGAAAGGGGGACAACTCATATCAAGTTATACTTATTATAAAACCCAGGTTGTTTGTGTGTGTGTGTATGTTCGTTTATATATGGGATCGGATTTCCTACATTTTTCAACCGATTTCAACAAAACTTCACTTTTTTTTGGCAGGTAGTGTTTCTTATTGTCTTGCACACTTTTTACTTTATTTTTACATTCAGAATGCTTTAAAAATTACATTTACAAACAATTGTTTATAATAAAATTCTATTCAATCGATAGACTCATAACCGTTGAAAACAATTTTTTTTGCTTGAGTTTGGGTTTGACCAATTCGTAAAAAAAAAAAACTAATTAAGACATGCGTGTCCGTCAACCTTAAACAATAATCTTTGTCAATTTTATTTTCAGTCTTTATGATGGTCGATACTTGATCTATCTCTTACTGTTACATCCCAGGCAACGCCGGGCTCTACTGCTAGTATATATATATATATATATATATATATATATATATATATATATATATATATATATATAATCCTGATTATCTCACATATAATCGTAATAATGTGAAAGAAATGAAATGGATTTCCAGGAAATTTGATTGTTTTCATTATTCACATACATCAAGTTTCATTTTCATCAACATCGGTCATGTACGGTAAGTCTGTAATGGTAATTAGTAGCATAAAAGTAAAACAAAATCGATTTCATTTGTTCATAGTAAATTTCCAACAAATAATTAATATGAAAATCAGAAAAAAATATTTTTAGGGAAAAGGCACAGAATTATTTTTCTTGTCCGGACATTAATAAAAAAAGGATAAATTATAATCTTACACCGAACAATATACATTACGTTAAAAACCTTTCCTCTGGTTCCAATATTTATGCATATCAACTTTGAGGACTGCCCAAGAAAACGTTTGGCCGTGTATAACAAACAAACAAACAAACAAAATGCTTTTATAACGAGAGAATAAATCATTCCCTTACTATTTTCTTTTCTTTTTCTTTGCTCCTGAGTGCAGACCACGGACTGAGTCGGTTTCGAAAGAGCAACAAGGCATTTCAACTTCATACCTGCATCACTCCTCATTCCTTGACTCCTGACAGCTTAAAAAAGGAGGCCGTCATCCTTTCTTCATCCCGCTTGTACCAAGACCGTGTAATCAACGAGAGACACAACATCATCAGCCCCGAAATGGAAGACGTTGCTACCGCAAAATACCTAAACGAAAAGGATATATTTGACTTAGGTTATGACACATCTTCCAAGACAGTCGAGAGTCAGGTATTGGATTGTTTGTTTATTTTAATTATTCATTTAATCACTCCCGCAGGAAACATCTTGCCGGATATCGTATTTAGAGGGAAACCAGTTCTATGTGCGATGATCGGCAAGCTAGTCTCAGAATCAAATTCGCTGGTGTACTTTTGTGTATCAAATAAAAGGTCCAACACAATTAAATTATTTCGGTCAGTACACCACAAATTTCACATAATGTCTCTCCACGGCACTATTATTTTGTTCCAAGTTTATTAAACTCATAGAAAAATTCCCGGGGAAAAGGAAAAAGAGAGGAACCAGCACGCTTCTTTTATAAGCTGCAAAAATTTACCCCGGCATGAATTTTTTAGATGGTACTTGTATTTGGTACAAAAGAGTATTGAGTTTGACCCCACCCCCCACAACAGGTGGCCCACCTTTCACTCACTCTTACCAAAATTTCAACAAAAAAATATATTAAGAAAGAAAAAGAAAGAGAAAATTCACTAACAAAGTCGAAAAACGTCCTTGTTTCGACGGTCCTACCACTGAGATAATGATCACTGGTCTGTGTAAAGAATGAGTTAATGTATTATATTTTGTATCTTGTTAAACCGATATTATTACAATTACTACCGTGAGTGGTAGTTTTTTTAACTTTTTATTGCAATTTGAAATTTCATGGCGAGTAGACTGAACAATTAAAAAATGGTTCGTCTACGAAACTCCGAAGTTGAGGTACTGATTATAACATCAGTCGGCTCAGTGACAAATTATATATATATATATACACTGAAAATAAACCTTCTTCTTTACTACACCCCCAAAAAAGAAATCTATTGGTGTTAGGTCAAGTGAATGTAATGACCATATGATGCTGCCCCTTCCGAACCAACTCTGTGGAAAGGTTTGGTTAAGGTAGTCACTTATTGCCAAAGCATAATGGGGAGGGACGCCATCTTGCTGAAAAAACAGTTCGGCAAAATTAGCTCTGGTTTTGAGCTGTAGAAACGTGAAACAAATAGTGAAACAACTGTAAACCTACTTTTGGCCCACCCTGTATATAAAATTTATTTACTAGTTTACCCTTACAATGGATAATGACGATTATACTTAAGCAATTCTGCAATTAATTGATTATGTTTTCGGCATGAAGTAATCAAAGTTTTTTATCGATAGAGTTGATAATATGGTCAGTGGCAAAAAAAAAAACAAAAAGAATTTTGCTTTTAAAAAATTATTAAAAGTAAAAACTATTGCCACGGGTATCAAAGAATTCTGCTTTTAACATTATTAAAAGTAAAAAAAAATATCTCAAGAAAGCTAACAGAGAAAAAATTTAAAAAGCAGTCTTAACAGCTTGATCTTGCACTTAACTAATTAGCTGTTTCGTTCTTATAGTAACAGAAATTATGTTTGCTTATCGGCGTTGAGTAATACCTTTTGTTAGCAACGATATAGCTCATTATTAAGAAGGGGAAATCAGATTGCATGACCGATGAATATATAAAGTGATATTGTGCCTTATTCTTATTGAATAGATATCTATTTCCTAATGAGCAACTCTCATTTCAGGTGTTTCAGATGTGTCGAGATGATTGTAAAATCCCCCCTTTACGAATGAGCGGAGGCAGCAGTACGGGTTCTAACTCAGGCAACGCCGTTGTCAATGGCAGAAGCGTTTGGAGCAGCGGTGGAGTAGTTGGAAGTGGCGGGGGAGGATGCGGTAGTAATAACGGTGGAGGAAACAGTAACGGAGGCGGAGTAGGAAGTGGGGGATGCAGTAATAGTGGCGGCGGAGGGGGTAGTAATAGTAGTGGTGGCAGCAATGGGAGTACTGTTGGCGGTGACGGTGCTGTTAACGGCGGCGGAGGAGGCGGTAATGGTGGTGGTGGTGGCGGCGGTGAACCGTGCAGTTCGTATTCGGACAATGAGAAGCAGTTGATTGAGGAGATTACTCGGATCAAAAGGGAACATGAGAACGTTCTCCGGACTTACGAGGACCGGATCAGCCGGATGACGGCCAAGATGCACGAGCTCCGAAACATCGCAGAGATGCTGGAGAACTCTAGCAATAAATCCCTGCCTTACGGCGTCATTCAAGGCAAGAGCGGACAGACGTCACACAATGGTCAGTCCAACCACCACCCCCACCAGCTGCAGCAACAGCACCATCACCACCTAAATCATCATAATCATAATAATCAACACCATCAACATCAACAAAATGGAAATTCGTCAGTCACGTGCCATGCACCAGGTTAGTAATTTTTTTTTTTTGTTTTTTCAAAAGTCGAAGAATCTGTTAACAGATATCAAAGAAAGCGATGAAAAGGGAAGAGTCAGAACCAGAAAGAGAAAGAAAGAGAGAAAAAAGAAAGATAAAAAGGAGAGAGTCAGGAAAAGAAAGAAAGAAAGAAAGAAAGATAAAAAGGAGAGAGTCAGGAAAAGAAAGAAAGAAAGTAAGATAAAAAGGAGAGAGTCAGGAAAAGAAAGAAAGAAAGAAAGTGATGAAAAGGGGAGAGTCGGAAAAGGAAAGAGAATGAATGACAGAAAGAAAGAAAAAAATGAAAAAGGGAGAGTCAGAAAGAGAAAGAAAGAGATGAAAATTGGAGAGTCAAAAAAGGAAAGGCAATGAATGACAGAGAGAAGGGAAAAAGGGAAAAAGAAAGACAAGATAAAATAGAGAAAGGAATAAAAAACGTGAAAAACAGTATTAAAGAGAAAATGAGACAGAAAAATAAAAGAGAAAAAGATAGAGGAAGGAAGGAAGGCAGACGAAAAAAGAGAAAGAGAAGGGTGAACGTAGAGAAAAGAAAGAAGAAAAAAGAATGAAAGAAGGAAAGAAACAAACAGTAATTTTAAAGAGGATTCTGAAATAAAACATTAATCTTTGTTTTTCTGTACAAATTAATACCGAGATATGGTACAGAAATCTCCTTTTTATTATTGATAGTAATTTGAACTTCAAATATTTCAGAAAATCCATATTTCTTTACATGAATATGAAATGACTATTGATATATAATTAAAAAATTCCTTTTCATATTATTATGAGTCCTAAAATATTGTCTAATATGAATAACATAGTATACTTCGAGACAGAACCAAATAAATGAAATTCAGTACAGAAAGATTATGTTGCGCCAATCAACTGAATGAGGAAACGACATTTATATACTCTGAAAATCATTATTCTAAAACCTAGCTTTTACAATGGTTACTATCAACAGTAGGCAATAAACAAACACTGCGGTCAGACAGCATCCAACTTTTTCTGGGAAGAGTGATTTTGATATATCTCAAGTGTCCGGAGAGACAAGGGAAACTTGATATATGAACAGATTGATCAATTTTTCGTATTTCTCAAACTTTAACATACCAAACCCAACATTGCTTAACTTCGGTGATAGGATGATAACCAGTGTATTCAACATGATTTGACCGCTTAAGAATACCAGGGGCCGTAAGAGTAGTCGGGTAGATGGAACTTATTAGTTTGGGAGGGAAGTCCATCTAAGAGAACGAAAATTATTTTTTTTAGGAACTCTCAGGAGAAAAGGGGGCGTTATTCTGCATTTTTACTTTCAAACGTTCCCATACCAAAGAAATGCAAGCTATGTGGAGTTGTCATCGTCGATAATGGCGCACAACTCCTTGATTGCTCAAACTTTTAATTAGCGTCTCGTATTAAAAAGTTTATTTTTGATTATGTATGATTCTTCTGACATTTAAATAGAATATTTTTCTTTTTTCTTTTTTTTTTTTGCCTTTTATTCAATAAAAATTTATTTATATTTTCTGTTGAAAAGGTCATTGCACTGATCCAGAGACCAAATCTTCAACCCAAAATACTGACAAAACCGTGCCGCCTCCACTTCCTCCCAGAAATGATCGGGGTACGGCGAAAGTATACCCGAATAAACCTTTAATTTATAATAAAGTAAAATTGACACAGGTACCATGGACGAGGATTATCACTAACCCTGGTATGGATTATTTTTCTTTCTTCTCTCTGTTTTTATTGCAATTTTGTATTTTTTATTGATTTGTTTTCTACCGTTTATCAACAATTTACAGGTTATTTAAAACCAGAAGTATTGTTTTTAGATTGTAGGAATTTGGGGTGGGAAGGGGAGGTAATAATGGTTTAGTGATACAAGTCTTACTGATTAAAGCTTTCCAATTAACTATTCCGAGCCATTATCCATTGCACCACACTCATATCCAAGCTTAGAGAACCTGGTATTCCGAAGCAGTTTTATATAGCATGAACAAAACAAATTCACGGATTTAACCCCCCCCCAAAAAAAAAAACAGATCCCAGAATGACGTCAAAATTCGAAAATCTTTCATCCTTTAATAGTCAGTTGGGCTTAGTTTAATGTGTAACGTATAGGTAAAATATAGGTAGAAAAGAGCATTACTCGGTGCTCCCAATTAGGCTTGGGCCTCTCGGTCGTGGGGTTCGAAGATAGTACGCACCGGCCCTTCGTGTTGGATTATTTAATAACGAATGTAAGTCTTTCAGTATAAAATACACAATGAATTAATAAACAGGAAGACATAGAATCGATTTACATTTTAGTCCGCAATTATCTAGCCAGGAGGTGCCCCCCCCCCTTAGGTGTTGGTTGGGATTTTACTCCTCTGTTATGGACACAGTCGGCGTATTCTAAGCCGCCGCCGATGAGGCGAATGCGTATGGAAGTTAATAATGGAAGGTGTATGGAAGGTAATAATAATCTGGAAGATAATAATGTAAGTTCTGTTAGCCCTACATTCAGAGTTGTCCTCTTAAAATTGGTTGCCAACCGAAGCTGGAGATCCTTTTCTGTCCTGTTATTTAACCTGTAGCTGGTGGGAAGAAGAGATATATTTAATCTTTTTTCCTGGAGCTTGAACTCGCCACGATAATCTCACTTTCCGCGCCACTAAACTTTTCTTTACACTTGTATAATTATTGCACGAATAAATGAAAAATGCAGGCAAATTCAAAATAAAAAGGTTTTCTAATGTATACATTTATTTTTCTATCTATTTTTCTCTTTCTACAGACGATGAAAATATGAAGGGTACGATATGGAATACTCTCGGCGAAACAGATATCGACACACAAGAAATTGATCGGTATATATATCTTACTTATAAAAACGCAGATTGTGTGTGTGTGTGTGTGTGTGTGTGTGTGTGTGTGTGTGTGTGTGTGTGTGTGTGTCTGTACGTTTATATATGGGATCGGATTTCCTACATTTTTCAACCGATTTCAACAAAACTTCACAGGACTACATAAAATTACCTTGTGGTGGTTCTGACAGCGCCAAAAATTGGAAAAACACAATTGTTTTGGCACGAAATCAATTTGAAAACACGATTCTGTCACCAGAATGAAAGGGGGACAACTCATATCGAGTTTTACTTATTATAAAACCCAGGTTGTTTGTGTGTGTGTGTGTGTGTGTGTGTGTGTGTGTGTGTGTGTGTGTGTGTGTGTGTGTGTGTGTGTGTGTGTTTTGTGTTCGTTTATATATGGGATCGGATTTCCTACATTTTTCAACCGATTTCAACAAAACTTCACAGGACTACATAAAATTAACTCGTGGTGGTTCTGACAGCGCCAAAAATTGGAAAAACACAATTGTTTTTGCACGAAATCAATTTGAAAACATGATTCTGTCACCAGAATGAAAGGGGGACAACTCATATCGAGTTTTACTTATTATAAAACCCAGGTTGTTTGTGTGTGTGTGTGTGTGTGTGTGTGTGTGTGTGTGTTTGTGTTCGTTTATATATGGGATCGGATTTCCTACATTTTTCAACCGATTTCAACAAAACTTCACTTTTTTTTGGCAGGTAGTGTTTCTTATTGTCTTGCACACTTTTTTCTTTATTTTTACATTCAGAATGCTTTAAAAATTCCATTTACAAGTCAATTGTTTATAATAAAATTCTATTCAATCGATAGACTCATAACGATTGAAAACAATGTTTTTGCTTGAGTTTGGGTTTGACCAATTCGAAAAAAATAACAAAAAAAAAATAAACTAATTAAGACATGCGTGTCCGTTAACCTTAAACAATAATCTTTGTCAATTTTATTTTTCAGTCTTCATGATGATCGATACTTGATCTATCTCTTACTGTTACATCCCCAGGCAATGCCGGGCTCTACTGCTAGTATATATATATATATATATATATATATATATATATATATATATATATATACTAATGTCATTTTTAAAATGGATTTTTAACCCAACACTATATTACAATTTGTTTTTTCTTTAGTTACTACGTACGTTATGCTCTAACATTATGGCAGATAAATAATGAACTGTTTTGATTGCGAAGAAAAACGGAAAAGAAAGAAAGAAAGAAAGAAAATGAGAACAAAAGGAAGAAAAAGAGTGACCAAAAGAAATAGGGAATACGAAAGAAAAAGAATGAAAAAAGAAAGAGATCGAAAGAAAAAGAACAAAAGAATGTAAATGAGAGAACTATAGAAAGAAAGAGAAAGAAAAACAGTAAGAAATATAAAAATAAAGAAATAAACAAACGAAGAGAAAGTGAACGATAGAAAGAAAGAGTGAACGGAAGAAAAAGAAAGAAAGCAGGAATGATAGAAAGAGAAAGAAAGAGGGAATGATAGAAAGAGAAAGAAAGAAGGAATGATAGATAAAGAGTGAAGGATAGAAAAAAAAAGAAAAAGAGAGGATGAAATATAGAAAAAAAGAGAAAGAAAAAAAGAAAGATAGAAAGAGAGAGAAAGTGTGAACATGCTGTTTGGATCAGCCATAAATAATCTATACTGCATTAGTTCTCCATCCATTTAATTCTTCTTCGAACGACACAAATATTAAGAAGGGATTCAAGAATTTGTTGCTCCTGCGTTTATTTTTTCTCTTCTTTTCTCGCTGCAGATTCTTTGAAGAATATCCCACAAAATCGACTGTTTTTATCCAAAGCCTATACGACGACGTATCGCTGCGATGTGGAACACTGAAACCACAGGTAAGTCAGACTCACTTCTTTCTAAAAGTTAGAGAACTTTAGCCAAAGAGGGAAACCTAATCTGGTACAATACCACAATAACTACGTGACCATCAAAGTCAAACTCACTACAGTGGTGAGAGACCCATTTTTATTGTGTGCTCAGTGAGGGTCGCATTCACTAATATGTGGGGTACAGAAAGTTGTTTGTCTGACCCATTTTCCAAAATTTGGCCAAGATTTTTTTTTTCAGAAGAGTTTCTTGGTCATGCTGAAACCTTTTCAGAACCTCTTCATGCTGTAGTAATTGTACGCGAAACTAACTTGTTAACCATTACTCCATGGTAGAGGCTCTGAACCAACCCCGATTCATTTTTACAAGGACTATCTTCTCTGTGGTGAATGTAAAACACAGTTGTGCGTGCAACATAGTCGTTATAGGCGCGGTAAATGAAACTGGCAAACAGGATTCAAATTCTGAGGTTTCATAAGAATGCCCTTGGGAAATGCAGTAATCAATTTCTTCTCCATCCGCCCCCTGCTATGGGTCAGATAAAAAGTTAAACTGGGCTCTCAGTTTGGCTCAATATAGAAAAAGGTCTACTCTCAACTGAAAATTGTAGAGAAAGCAATAGGAAACCACCATGATTTCTTGGGGAAAATATTGGAATAGTTTTTTCCAAGAAATCATTGTGGTTCACAGATAATAAAGAAAATAAATCTGTAGAGGGCCATGATCGTCTACATTCTTAAAGGAAATGACATTTAAAAAAAATAAATGAATAAACTTGGAAAATCATTTTCCTATCGCTTTTTCGTCTTAAGGTAAGGTTAGTAATAGCAACAGATTATAAACTAAATAGACGGATAATGAATACAGTTTAACCTTTTTAATTCGGCAATCTGTGATCCGGCAACTCCTGTGATCCGACGCTTTTTTGAATCAGTCGCCATCAGATCCTTGAGTGGCTATGCAGCCAGAGCCACACGTTGTTTACAACTTACCGCAGTAGCCGACAGCAGCAGAATCTTTTGGTGATACGGTTTTGATCCTTTTTTATATATAGATGTATATCTACCCATTCAGGATAATAAGTATATATTATTTTTGCTTTTATTTTTATTTATTGTTTTTTTTTTTTTTAGTTTTTGTATTGCATAAAACAATAAAAACCATGTTTAGAAGCATTAATGATTGTTCTTATTTCTTGTTTGAAGCTTTATTATATATATATGTGTGTGTGTGTGTACTGAGCTGGCATGATTATGTTTACGTAGGATTCTTTTAGGTATGATTTCTGTAGTCCAGTAGGGGCCTGGTCCGAAGTCTGCCGGATTAAAGAGGTCAGACTGTACTTAGATTTGTGAAAATTGTTTTATGCCTTACACGTTGATGCATTTAAAGTATATTTACTAAACGCCTGTTGAAAATTCATTCAGCTGGACATTGAAACTTGATAATTAATTCCTTTGGTGCCGATTTCTTTTAACAGCCAATCAGCATTATTGATTCGACCAAGTGTCAACAGATGGCGCAACAAATGAAACAAGTCAGGTGCACTTTTAGCGATGTGGTGCACGCTTTACTAACTTTATCAATAGAAACTCTTCGGTTTGCCAATGCAGAGAGGTGAGACAAGACCGTCTTTTTCTTGTTTTTTGTCTTCTTTTGTTGCTTTTCTCTTACTCTATATGAGACATTGCTTTATATTACTGATTTTTTTTTCTTATTCTAAATTTTTAACTGCATTAGCCTTTTCCTCAAGTGACGCTGCCAAAATCTGATTTTGCAGCCTAATTAAAAATCTATAGAAGACTGACCTTTCGGAAGAAGGGTTGAAATGTTTTGATTTTCCAAAATTAAATTACTAGCGAAAATAGGCACCAAACTAACACCTGGAATTGAATTTCTAGTCAACAAGGAAAAAAATGAGTTTTGGGTTCTTTTCTTAAAGCAAATCGTCCCAGGCAAGGCGGGAGTGTTACTAGCACGCAAGGGGGGTTATAGAGAGTGAGAGTAAACGAGGAATGTTTGGAAAAATGATAAAGAGAAGGACAGAGATCAAGGTCAAGGCATCAGAAGATGTCGATTGACATTACATTTGAATATTTTGAAGATTATAGCTATCAGGGAAACAAGTGATAGGAAGGGAATTTCACTGACGGGAGGTGCGAGATAAGAAGCTTTTGAAGTAGAAGAGATGGCAACATTTAGCAGTTTCGACAGTGAAAGGGTGGGAGCGAGATGCCAACCTAGTAGCACGCTTAAATTCATGCAATTTGGGGACCAGTGAAGGTAGCTCGTCGGAGCAGTTGCCATGAATGTACTTGTAGAAAAAACAGAGGGAAGCCATAGCACTTCTCTGAGATAGCGACTGCGGACAAGATGCCAGATCAGGACCAACCACGTTGCATATCCGTCTCTAGATTTTGTCGAGAACCTCGAGATGAATAGCGGGAGCACCAGACCATATATGGCAGTTGTATTCCATGAAAGGACGAATGGTTGATTTGTAGATTTTAAAGGATGGACTCAGGCGAGAAAAACCTTCTGGCGTGAAACAGAGAACCAATTTTCCTTGCGGTAGATGAAGCTATAGATTCAATATCTGTTTAGGCTTCCTATTTTGAAATTATTTACGTTAGTTTTAACTGGTTACGAAGGCAAACACTTCATCTCCTGATCTTCCTTCATCAGATGTTATTTCTTCCATTGTTTACTCCTTTTGCATGACATCCTCCTTTTCTTCAATTTATTCTCACTCTTTGGTTTGTTTTAAACCAAACCAAACCCAACGCACTTTATTTTGCTTTCATTGGCTGATGTATTTAAAACGTAATCGACATTCTCAAATTTCACTGGGTTTTTTTTTATTTAATATTATTCCTGAAAAGATGAATGGATATCTATTTGAAGAAATAATCATTCACTTTTGTTTTCTATAAAAACATATTGTTCTATAATTATTTCTCGTTATTAATTATTATGTTGGGTACCATAACTGGGAGTCAACGTGTTGATTTCCCATTCTGACACTCTGTTCAATTCACTTCGCACTAGTGGCCTTGGAAAATGCAATAATCCATCTATAGGGTAATTGAGAAAGATTAGGTTTTCTTGCCTTGGAGACAGCCAGTGCGGAAGAAAGAAATTTCAAATCCTAATTTCAAATTATATAAATAATAAATAATAATAATTATATAAGAGACTTTAACCGTAGTAGGGCAACCAGTCTAGGAGAAGGAAAAGTCATGTAAATAATATAGCAGACTAGGCTTTTTTTACATCTGTGTGCTGTGTCATGTTGACCCTGTAGATCTATTGGTAGAATATCAGACCACAACCCCAACGTACTAGATGTTGCTGCTGTGGTTTCTATAGGAAATAACTCAACATTCGACAGGTTTTGAATTGTTCTTCTCCTAGACTAGTTGCCAGTCTACCCTGGTATTAATCCTTAGCTGGGGTATTTTTACTATGACTGGGATTTAAAGTCGACACGCTAATCTGACTTTTGCCGCCGATAACCGCTACGCTACACGCACATTCGTGGCCAGATGTTGTTATCACATATGCGTGGCCAGATGTTGTTATCACGTTTTTAGTTATATTTGTGGGTGGTACAAGTAAGTCTATTTTTAGCTAAGTTATATTTTGTATTATTGGATGTAATATCCAGTTGATACTAAGTCTTGTTAACCTACTAAGCTGATTACACTAAATTGTAAAGCTCGTCACAATGTGATGGTTGTCGATGGTTGACTTATAGTTTGGTTTGTGTAACGGCATAACAACTCCTTATAGGTCATTTAAAGCCGAAATTTTACTTTCTTGAGAGGTTTGGTATGTTTTTCCCCAAAATGTATTGCTAGTAATTTTTTCTAGTGTATTTTTAAATTTCCATGTTTTGACCTCAGTTTGGGTATTTATTCTTTGCCCATAGCTAGGACCATGACAGGTGCTACCATCCTGGGTCAACAGCAATTAAGAGGTGGTTCGACGCTCCTAAAAAATTCACGAAGAGAGGTCTTGCTGTCGGATGTACTTTATTATCATACCCAGGACGAGGCTGACTTGTAAATCTCGTGAGTAATCGCGTAGAGCTCATAGAACATATGTGTTAATCTGGTTCTACCGTTTTTATACACATTATGATACGTAACCGTAACTCTGGTAGATAGATGTCGCCACATCACGCTGAAATACCGGTTCCCGTACGAGCATCAAAGTTAAGCAACGTCAAGCCTGGTCAGTACCTAGATGAGTGGCCATTTGGGAATACCAGCTGGTGTAAGCTTGGGTTTGCGTGTGGTATAATGGATAACGGTTTGAAATTGTTAATCGGAGAGCTGAGTTCCAATTCCCGTTGAATTATTTATATTCACTTTCATGCAAATAACTCTGGGAAAGGTATGAATCCACTTCTCCTCTCAGCTAAAACTTGTATTACTAAAACATTATACCCAAAAAAAAAAACATTATGAGAATCTAAAAATATTTCCTGCAAAAGGTTGATAAGCCGTAGAAAATGGATCAATTAAAGTTAGTCCTCCTAGGATCCAACAAATATGCTCAGAAATCGACCACTTATGAAATACCTTAACCAATTGGACCCATAATAGTTTTATGTATTATCATAACGGCGAAATATCTCGTCAACTGTTCCAGAACAGTCATTGCTGTCACTGCCCTTCATTACCCTGTACAAACTCTCATGAATCACTATCCGATTACTTACGGACACATCACGATAAAACACCGATTTTCGTACAATCACTGACGTTGAGCAACGTCAAGTTTGGTCAGTACCTAGACTCCTTTGGAATACCAGATGCTGTAAGCTTGGATGTGCGGATGGTGTAATTGCTAATGGCTCGGAATTGTTAATCGGAGAGCCGAGCTCCAATTCCCGTTGGGTTCGTTATATTCCCTTTCACGCAAATAACCCTGGGAAAGATATGAATCCACCTCTTCCCCCCTAACTATGTTAATTAGTAGGACACGTATCAGTAAACCAATCTTCCAAAATTCTTGCAATCTAAAAATACTTTCCGTCTTTAAATAACCTGCGAGAGGTTGATAAGCCATTAAAAACAAAATCGATCATGAACTATCCAATTTACTGCCAGAGTAAGAAGACCCAAGACAAAGTAGTTTCTCACAGCGTATCGTCAGCTGTTCTAGAACAATTGTTGCTCTTACTGTCTTCATCTGTATCGTAAGGTGCGAGTGACCTAATTGTTGACAGCAATGGGAATGGAATTGACGAATTGAGTTCAAATTCCAATCAGGAAAGCTTCTGCTCACTTTGTCCTAATTCTATTTGGAAAAATATGAATTGAACCCCCCTAAATACGGACTAATAGGGCAGTTACGCTGCGTGAAAGGTTGGACTTACTTCGGGTCAAATTGCGTTTTCTTACCGATTTGTTTGAGACTGGTACGTATAAAACAATTTCTCTCTTTGAAATACAAATATCGGTTTTCTTTAAAAAAAAAAAAAAAGAAAAAAAGTGTGGTATTACTCCAATTGCCTGCTAAAGAACCTCTGCCAACAACCGCAAGATGGCGCTATATAAAGCTGTATATAAAGCAAAGGTCGCACGAACGTGCATGCCAACTGAGTAAAAACGAGAAAATTCATTTTTAAAGGGTAGTTTTTATGCCTATTTTCGTTTTAATTTACAAAAATTATATTTGAACTCTTTTTAGATTATAAAAATAATTTAAAAGGGAAAATCAAACAATTGTTAGCTTCCTGAATCTCTTTAGAACATTTCATGTACAATGGAGTTGTGTATTCTTTGCACCAAGTTGTCACCATTTTTCGTCTCTTTCCCTTGATGAATTACGCATGCGGAAATAACATTTTTTTTTTTTTTAGTGGGGTGGGGCTGGTTTTTAAATCTTTATTCGAAGGCAAACACTCTGGGAAATGTTGTGATCCGTTGAATTAGATTTCTACATTCTCTGTTTTAAACCTGTTAAAAGAGGATCACAGTTATTCTCAGTTTGTACTGAACTCATTAAAATCAACTTCAGAGTTCAGTATGAAAATATGCTTTCTGATTGGTCCATAAATAATAATGTCATGTTTCTGCCAACGTCCGCACAGTTGACCTCTAGTTGACCTGTTCAGATTTCAACGCGCCAAAAATTGGTAAACATTCTCTCGAGTCTCCCATATGATCAAGAAAACTCATAAATATGAAACTTCGACACGACTTAGTCAGTGATTCCTTAAAATAATCAACTCATCACACGAATCTATGAAACCCAACATCCTCGCTAAAAGTTAATTTTTATTAACATCAACCCCGGCTTGCGAAATTCAATTTCTTTTCGACATCAACTCGTCTAGTGAACAATTCAACCAAAACGAGATTCAGAAACCAACTCAATATCTTAACAACATAAAGGAAATCGTAACTATATCAGTCGAAGCGAGACAACTCTACAGTAAGTCAAGCAATCTATTTCATTCAATTTCACCATCAACATAAACTCTTTAATCCCTTACCAGATCTGTAGCATAACACCTTTTATATTACTCTTGATCACACAACCAAGAACTCTAAAGTGTTTTAAACAACTTTATTATATCGTGTGTACTTGTTATATAAAATATTTTCTGATAAAACAAATATCTACCTATTTGTTGTTGTCTTTGTTGCATTTGATTTAGTAAAAATAGTAGAGGGTCAGTTTAATTTGTATTTTGTAACCGATACAAATTGGCTAACCCATTACAGATCACATGTATCCTAGTAACCATGAATCCTAGAGTTGCCAATTTGTAATTTAGACTCAGATCAGGGATGAATGATGCTCGTATAGTTGTAAAATGTTTAAATCATCAAATGATAATATCTGCTGATCTCCAGTGAAGCAACAATTGACGGTGTCCGCCGCTTAGGGGTTAATCCAGCAAGCAATCCATCTTTTTCTTTGGGCAGGCAACACAGCTTCATAAAAATAAAACAAAACAAAACATATTTCCGGCCCACAATGAATATGACTTCATGAGTCGTTCAAGAAATGAAGACAGAAATCATTGAATATTGTGTCGTAAGACGCAGGAAATGACTTCATCACGAATTGTTTTGAATCACTAACTACTAGAATAAGTCGATCCAGGACAACGACAAAAAATCACGGGAGATAACTCATCAGACGCCTTCATTGGTTCAATGTTATTACCGTTCCTTACGCTTATATAATCTTTAATTTTTATGCCTTAGAGTTTTGTAACAATTTTTATTTAAAAATTATGCGACCGGTTATTGCTTTATTAATCATTTTCATTTATTGAAACATATTTTGTTTATCTTTGCAGTTTATCAGAGTTGTTCCAATTGATGTCGTCTGGTAATGATATTGAAATCATTACTCAACAGGACAGACGCATTTCTAATGGTAAGTGAAAAACTTGCAAAAACAAAACTTTTCATTCCCCATAAAGAAATCATTTTCCTGATTATGATTTTTATTGAAGTTTGGCTTTTACAAATATTAGCCAAATTACAACACGTATAGTTTGGGAACGTCGAAGCGTATATCAACCGGAATTTTGCGATAAAAACAGAAAAAATAAGGATACTAGTCCGAATAATTCATGTAATATTCCTTTTTTAGGTCATCTTTCAGAGAGTCAGTGATCATGGCTCAACTCAACTATCTTTTGTTTTTAATATCTGTAAATTGTTCATTGTCATTTTGGGAAAGGTAGTGGAGTGGTTTCCCCAATGCATTCACCACGATTTTCAATTGAGAGTTTTCCTTTCTCTGGACTGGCTGTCAGCAAAGGTTATAGAGCCCAATCTGCCCTACTATCTAACTCATAGCCGAAGAAATAATATCTAAATCCAACACTTGGTTCAAAATCCGTAATGGTGGAAATAGATGTTATATCTGTAGTGACTAGTTCTTGTCATGGTTGATAAAGGATGTGACAGCTTTTTAGTGTTACTATTTAATAACGGGCGAGTGATTTTCCTAAGTGCCCACTCACCTTTCTTCTCCATCACCCATCGGGATATGTGAGTAACAATATATCTGATGATGGGACTGGATACAGGGATGTAGATCCGTGCCTTTCCCAGGACTATTTGCACTAAGTGAACGTAAACTGCCGCAGTTGAGATTCGAACTTAGTTTACTGAATCCGTTTCCAGTGCTTGCAGTCGTTTCGCTTCCTCGTAGTCTTACTAGAATTAACTGCAATTATTGTTTCATTTGGGCTGCCTGCTATTTGAATTTGGTGTATCATTAATTTTGCCATTTAATTTGATTTTTGCCAACTAATTAGTCTAATTTTATTTGGTTATGTCATCATGAGAGTATGTAAAAGTTAGGCGTAATTAATGGGTTGCATAAAGAGCTCGGAAAAATAATAAAATTACTGATCGTGATACAATTATTATGGTGGGTACGCAAATGTTGTAAGGCTTGATCGTTATGCTTACAAAATAACGTGTTATTAATATTATTTTTCTTTAATAGTCCAAATGGATTGTCCTGAGTACTTCTTGTACGAACTGTCAGGGATGGAAATGCTGCGTGAAAGGTTGGACTTTCTTCGCTTCAAATTGCGTTTTCTTACCGATTTGTTTGAGACTGGTACGTATAAAACAATTTCTCTTTTTAAAATACAAATATCAGTTTTCTTAAAAAAAAAAAAATTCTGTGTGGTTTCTCCAGTTGCCTGCTAAAGAACTTCTGCTAACAACCGCAAGATGGCGCTATATAAAGCACTATATAAAGAAAAGGGCACAAAATAGAAACTCCCCCCCCCCATCACAACACGCCTTAGAGATAGGACGTCTCATTTTCCCTCTGGAGGGACTTTTCAGTCCCCCAGCGAATCACATGTCGCATCGAACACAAAATAGCATGCAAATTCCCGAAGCTTACTTGACTCTACACAGGCATATATGATAATGTTACCGAACCAAGAGATAAAGATAAGCTCTTCTCAAATGTCTCTCTTTGCACGCATGAAAAGAGACATCTCTATATACAGGCTCCCATTGTATTCATTCTTGTCAGTTTGCTCGGATAATAAAAGCTGTTGTTAATTGTACGTAATTGCTTTTAATTTCATTTCTATCTCCTGTTCGAGAAAATTCCCACGAATAGCAATATTACGTTACATATTTTCTATTTCGTTTATCACTGATAACCGCAATCCTACCTTTGTACCATTGCAGTAAGCGTGGATTTGCGTATTGTTTAATGTGTAATGGCTCGGAATTGTTAATCGGAGAGCCGAGTTTCAATTCCAATCGGGTTCGTTATATTCACGTAAGCGCAAATGCCCTTGGTAAAGATATGAATCCTCTTCTTCTCTCCCCTCAGATATGGGTTAATTAGTAGGACTTCTATTAATAAAATCTTTATTATTGCTAAAACTTTCTTAAAGTCTACAAAATATTTTCTTGTTTTAAATAATATGCAGAAGGTTGATAAGCCGTAAAAAACAAATCACACTCCTTCCTGTTCTTTTGAACAGTAATAGAGGTTTATACCTTGTTTTCTTTTTAGGATTTCCGATTCCTTCTAAAGTCTACTTCAACTCCAACGTCTTCACCTAAACATTGAAATTTTATTCACTACTTATTTTTCTTCTCAATAGGAATAGATAAGTTCGCCTATGTCCCGGTTCACACTCCTCCCTGGTCTTTTGAACAGGAGTAGATATTTATCCTTTTTTCCTTGTTTAGGATTGGGTTTCCGGTTGGGTATTTTCATTCTCTTTCACTCCCACACTCCTATTATCGCCTTGCTTGAGGCGAATTGATTAAAAAAAATCAATTAATCAAATTCTGTAACCGGTTGGTCTTCGTGACCTAATTGTTAAAGCAGCTGCACCTGACAGGCAGATTAAAAGGTTTGATTCTTGGCGGTGGATTATTAATTTTATCCAATCCATGTTGTTGATTACAGACACTAGAATGACAATCTGGGTGTGGCAGCAAAAATCACAGAAGAGATGAAGATAGCAAAAATACTCATGAAAAAAATGAATAATAATAAACAAAGTTGTTTGAACTTGTTGACCCGTCAGCTGATATGGTGTAATGCACTCTTCAGTTAAGTGCCATACATGATACACTCTTAGGCGATCATGTTTTTTTTTTTTTCGATTCATGACTGACGAAGCAGAATATCTTCCGGCAGTACGTTGACATTTCTTTCTGCGATAGTATGGTTGCCATTCAAGGCTATAGAATCCAGTCTGTCCTGCTATTCAACCCATATCTGGGAAGAGGAGATATGAATTCACGCCTTTCCCAAGGGTACTTGCGTGTAAGTGAATGTAACGAACTTAACTGGAATTCGAACTCGGCTCTCCAATTACTCTTTCCTAGCCTTTATCCATTATACCACAACACTCTCTTACCAAACAACAAAAAATGTCAAGCGCCATATTAGTTATAGCATACTACTAGATGATGAAAAAAATCATAAGATATACAATGAGAATAAATAAAACACATCCTTATACAATACCGTCAGCTGTCTTTGAAGGTTTTAGATATTTTCTTTTTCTTTTTTTTATCAGATCAAAGGCTACGAGCTGTGAACGCGGCATGCGATGAGTTATATAACAGGTAAGATATTTCTTAATATTTCATATTCAGATATAATTATCTCATCCGTATATTGATGCTGTCAGATAGATAGATAGATAGATAGATAGTGTGGACATTGAAATCATCGACGCTTGGATACCATGACAAGATTGCTTAACAGCCACCATGTAATATTTTTGCCTACATTGTCAATCTCTTTTAATGTTATTTCAATGTCGACGTCGACATTGAAATAACATTAAAATAGCATATTTGCATATTCGGATTTTTGTCTTTCCATATATTTTTCTTCATATTGTCGGATCTATATCCATATATTTGCTTACATATTGTCAATCTCTACAAACACAATATCTCCAACATTAAGCTCTCTTCCCCATCAATATTCCAATTTTCAGACAACACAGACACACACACTTGTGTTTCAAATACACAAGGGAGTTGGAATTAAAATTGTTGTTTTTTTTTTCCTTTTTAGTTTTCAGTAATGAAATATTTTGTTAGGAAATGCACGCAGTCTAAATTGAGGAAGGGAGGAGGTATTTGGCATAAGGCTGTCTCGGGTGTACTTTTCTCTCCAAAACAAGAATAACTGTTCCAGCCTGTTTATTTGAAACTCAAAAATAGATAGAGTGATTCGGTGGTAATCTTCCTTTAATTAACTTTAATTAAAAATTACATACAGAGATTTTTTAGAATTCTGTTCTGCTATTTACCCCGTGTATTTCTCAGTAGCGTTAAGACGAAGTGAACGAAATGCAGATTTGAACTCGTCTCGCCGAATCCACTTTCAGCGACAATGACCTTTACTCTACTTGCACATCTGAAAATACATCATGTTATGAATAATATTGTTATTATTCCATCGACTGTTATGAATAATCTCGTTGTTATACCATCAACAGTTATGAATAATCTCGTTGTTATACCATCAACAGTTATTTGATAGTTTATTCAGCTTTTTTTTCTCTTTTACTTTATTCTTTTTCTTATTTCCAGTCTCCCTTTGAAAAATCTCTTAGAGGTTGTGGTGTGCGTTGGTAACTACATGAACGGTGGAACACCTTTGGGCCAAGCTGATGGCTTCCACTTGGACATTCTTCCAAAACTGAAAGATATTTTAGCCAAAGTAAGATACATAAATTATGACTGCTTTTTGGAAGTTGAATAAAATAGTTGATCAAATCGAATCAGCCTACTGGACTAAAACAGAGGTGCAATCTCAAGACAATATTTTAATAAACACACCTGTGGCATCGATGAACAAACTAATCGTCATAATCGAACTATTGTTATAACTTTACTGTTGACCTTAGATGGAATATATTTACTTATGGAAGACAAATCTTGTACATTAACGGGCGAGGTTATCTTAAATTATCAGTTTCTATTCTTGGTTTTTCTTTGAATTCATTCCTCGCTACCGTATTTATCAGCACTGGATGTGTGTTTATCATTTCCATTTAGTCAACTGTTTTATTTCGTTGTTTTCTGGGACTTTGCACCAGGTAAATAGCATCCATGTCAAAGATTTTCATCTTTGTCGATGACTTCATTATCAATGAGATAACCGATCTTCTTTATCGGGGAAAAGGGTTTATTGTATATTAGCACAAGTAACCGTCCTGGCCTGAGTTTCTAAATATCTGAAATGATTACAGTCGTGTGTTCATTATATACCGTATGAGTTGTTCTAAAAATGTTGACAGCATTCAGATAGTTAAAAAAATGTTGGTTCTATGAGAACATTTGCTTCCAAACAATTAAGACAATCGTTCTATTTTATATTTGTAAGAATTCTCTAAAATCTAAACACAAATATAGAAACTAAAATTAAATTAAAATTTTTTTTTTAAATGTTGTGGGGAAAAATCCTTCTATTTATAATGCTCCACTTGTTTACATAATTATTTTAACATTGTTTTTTTTTCCTTTTTTTTTTTTCTTTTTTTTTTTTTAGAACAACAAATCAAATTTTCTGGAGTATGTCTTAACCACTTACTGCCAGAAATTCGAGAATGAACCAGGCTTACAAACTAACAGAACTTTTCGACTTCCTAACGCCATAGTTGTGCGTTATGCTTCCCAAGTAAGAAGTGCCTTTTTAATCATTTTTTATTAATCAGTTGTCCAGAATGTTATGTCGTTTTATATCATTTTAAAAATAAAAACAACTATTGTAAAAAACATAAATATGCATGCGGCCGAGTGAACGTTCACTTTCCGACTATGTGATCGGGGTTCGAATCTCACCATAATCGATTTGTCAGGAAGGTGAATTCTTCATATTATCGGACTAGGGAGGAGATTCCAGCATGTGACAGCCTTAGAAAGTGCTTGATTCGTTGGCCCAAACCTTGTGAGTAAAATTGGGTAAACAGAACTATTTGGGGGCCGGGTGCACAAAGTCTCAAGTCATCGTAGCGGAGGGTTTGAGAGTACTGGTCTTGTTCAGACCGTTCATCACACCAGATAATACGCTTTCTCCCAGAAACTGTAACTAGGGTCCGCTCAGTAGAGTGGCAGTATAAACCATTGGTGGACTTAGTGGGTTTTGAGCATATACAGATGTGGCTGAGCTGGCCTCTGCAACAGGGATGAGCTAGCCTCCCTAATAGACAGGTATACTCGGATAGGAGCGGCCAGTTCTGATATTGTAAAAAAGAAAAAGAAATCTTTTTTAAAATATACATCACAAACTTCAAATTAGTTCTGTTAATTTGTTTCTGCTTCTTTTCAAATATCAGAATTTCTACGGACAATGAACTTTTCTTCTGCAGTTGCTTGCTTATAAAAGTGCTTATTGCCTAGAAATCAAATTATATATCTCAGTCATTCGATTGTGTCGTCCATCTTTCTATTTGTTTTTCTGTAACATCAAAGATTATCATGTATGTGGATGCGACTAATTTCTTCCGCAATAACTGGGCACGCGTACCTACTCAATTTCTCTCACAAAAACTATAATAGCTCCCCTTGATAATATTGAAAATTCTCATAATTACTAAAGCTATTAGGATGACCAAATAGATGTTGGAGGCTGCCGTAGATGCAGATATTTACCTAAACATAAAAATGACATGTACGGAAAAGTCGGAAGAACATAAAAGGAGGTTTTATCTCATACAAAGAGGACATGCCAACAAAGCATAGAAATATTTTACACGCCTTCTCCTCGCGGGAAGGGACAAATCAACACCGCCAACACAACACCGGGACAACTCAGGACCGAGGCAACTCAGCACCAGAAAAACATAACATTTTATAACCGAATAAAAGTAATTTATTAAAGATTAAAACCTTAATTAGTGAATATTTTCTTCAAATAAGGGATTCGAAAGGCATTATGTAAAATATGAACCATTTTTTGTTTTTAATTAATTTAAAAATAAAGTAAATCGTAATGTAATTTATTTTTAACAAAGTAAATCGAAATTCTAAAATATTTTTCTAAAAATATTATAACATTTCATATTGTCAATTACTGAATTTTTTTACTTTATAAATTACACTTTGTTATGATCCAGAATGATGATGATATTTGTTATGATCCAGAATGATGATGATATTTCATCATTCTAAAAACAACCTTTGATGAATGATAATAAAGATATTTTATCGCCCTGGAAATAAAAATAAAAATGTCATTATCTAAAGCAACCTGGCCATCAATGATGATATATCATGATGAGGTTTCATCAGTCTATAATCCGAAACTTCATTATAAAAACGGCCCTTCCACCATAAGCGAAGTCAGTAGAGTAATCTTTCAGCAGCAGTAGTAAAAAGAACAACACAGACGTCTCTTCTTCGCTCCGTAAAAATCCACAGTTAACAGTCTCAGACGCTCCCCTTAATAACAAAATTCTCGGAACAAGCAAAAACATGTAAGCAAACACTTTTAAAGAAACAAAAGAGACAATAGCACATTTTTGACACACACCATACTAATATCATCACGGAAAGAAAAATATCCATTCTTGACATTAATTTCAACACGTGTCTCAAAGTCTCATTGTTTTTTGTTATTGTTGTACGTTTTATTCATTTAATTTTCAGTATAAAAAAGAGAAAGGGAATCATCTATCAACTACTACAAATACGGGATAACTTACATTACACACACCTCAACTCCCACACCGTTACACCTTATTTGAAAAAAATATTCACAAGAATATTTGTGCGAAAGTGAATACAACCAACTCGACCGAAATTCGAACTCGCCTATTTCGCTTTCCAAGCCATTAACCGTTGCTCTAACCATGCATCCGGATATTGAATCGAAGATAATGAAAACTTCTTGAAATCAAAACCAGAATCATTCTAAGATGAAAAGACAATTTACCTGTATAAATATCCAGAAAAGATTTTGATGACAGACTAATGATGCTATGAATGGATATAAATAAAATAGAATGTCAAAAACATGCTGGAAATATTTGCCTCGTTTTTGTCTGAATTTCTAAAATGAGTATTCATTATCTACATGCAGTCCAATATCCTCATCTTTGTTTGAACATAGATGGGGACAATAGTCCCCATTTAAATAATGTAAATGTTTTCATCAATCTAAAATTTATCCAATAAGCGTAAATAGAATTCCTATATCTAATTCACTTGACACAAATTTTTGTTCGTTTGAGAGCAAATTACAAAAAACTTTTAGACACTGTATTGGATATGAAACTGTTATTTTAAGTATTGAAAAGACATAACCTTAAAATCCTAACAGAATTTTTCTTTCAATTATATTTCTTGCATTGTTACAGATTTCTTTCGATGAGATGCAGAAGAATCTCCAGGGCTGGAAGAATGAACTAATTAACACACGGAACAAAGTAAGTAATGATTTGTAATGAATAACGTTGAAATCATTGATTAGTTCGTTATGTAACCGGAAGTAATTAATGATAAATACTGGACTGTAATCGGAAGTTATTATGGGTGATATGTTGGACTGTAACCTGATGTTGCGAGTGGGATGTTATGTTGAATTCTAATCGGAAGTTGTTCTTGCTTTATATTGGAATTTTACTGAAAGTTGTTGCTGTATATTGGACTGTTACTGGACGTTGTTGTTGCTCTATGTTGGACAGTTACCGAACATTGGTGGTCTAGGTTGGACTGTAAGTTCATAGCGTGCGATATTGACTGCCACTGAATATTGATGGCATTTACACTGATTTGGTCTGGACTGTCAAGATCTGGAGCTCTTGTACTTCAGAGTTGATTCCGTTTACTGAGATTACAACCCACCGGTAGGATATTTTTAGATTAGGAATTATCATTATTATATGTTTTGCTATTCAGACCACTATACTCATTTTGGTTGTTCTATTCACAACGTTTCGGCTATTATACATTCCGACCTTCTTCATGTGTCTGTTGTCATATTCGGTAATCTTCTTGGAATTTGGAACCAAAACTTTATTCAATCTCCGAGTTTTTTAATACGTATCGGTTTCCCTAACAGTTCTGAGTTCAATCCTTGAATCTGGTAGCGCTGAAAAGTCACATACACTGATTCAGTGGAAGAAAAAAACAAACGACACAAAGGGGAATAAAACGAATGAATGTTAACTTATACGAAATATCCCTTAAGCATGGAAAGTGGAAGAATCTGTATTCATAGATTGAATCAAGGGTTCGGTTCGAAATTCTAAGATACTTACCTAATACGAAGACAGACACCTGAAGAAGACCGGAGGCTAAACGGTCGAAGTCTTGGAGACATAACAACAAAAATGAGAATGCTGGTCGCAATAGAAATGTATATAATAATGACGGCACGCCTGAACGCCAACTCACTCTTCCAGAGTGAAATTAATGGCTTTCAAAAACAAATCCTAACAGACGAGTTAGTTTTTTATGAAGATTTTCCATTAACAAGATATTAAATTAAAATGCATCTTTTTTCTTATATATAATTCCGTCATATATATATATATATATATATATATATATATATATATATATTAATTATATATATATATTAATTATATATATATATATATATATATATATATATATATATTAATTATATATATGTATTAATTATATATATATGTATGTATATATATATATATATATATATTAATATATATATATGTTTTTTATATATGTATATATATTATATATATATAAGTAATTATGTATATGTATATATATATTAAATTAAAATATATATATTATTATTATATATATATATATATATATATATAATTATATATATATATATATATATATATATATATATATATATATATATATATATATATATTAGTATATATATATATATATGTAATTATATATATATATATATATATATATGTTAATTATGTATATATATATATGTGTGTATATATATATTAATTATATATATATATATATATATATTAATTATATATATATATATTAATTATATATATATATATATTAATTATATATATATATATATATATATATATATAAATTAATTATATATATATATATATATATATATATATATATATATATATATATTATATATATATATATATATATATATATATATATATTAATTATATATATATATATATATATATTATATATATATATATATTAATATATATATATATATATATATATATATAATTATTATATATATATATATATATATATAATTAATATATATATATATATTATTATATATATATATATTAATATATTTTAAATAGTTTTTCGTGTGACGCGTTTCGTCCTTTAGGACTTCATCAGACTAAATTACAACAAAGCAAAGCTCAAATGCACTTCACTCGTTGGGACCTTTCTAAGTCCATCTATTAATTTTATTTTCGTATCCGAAACGTTAACAAAATAATTATTAAGCAGTTAATAGATTTTTTTTAATTCCGACTTCATTTTTTATTATTTATAGTAGTAAGAAATCATCTCTGATTTTTAAAAAATATGCATTAATTTAATTGATTAGTGGATTTTTTAATTACTTACATTAAATGATTAAACACACACACACACATATATATATGAGAAATAAGCGATTATTTTATTGCAATCTCCCTCGGTAACACTATTTTGATTGGTCTTTTGACCCTCTAGTTGGTGAACTCTTACTAAATAAAAATAAATAAACACTTACCGTATATACTCGCGTATCATGCGACTTTTGGAGCTCATTTGACTACAGTAAATTGATATATAGTTTGGTGAACAGCGTAGCCAGGGCCAGTAGTATATACGCTAATTTTATATCTCGTGTATGATCCGAACCCCCTTAAAATTAGGTTCAAAATTAGGTCCCCTCAAAAGTCGCATGATACATGAGTATATGCGGTATATCTCTAGTAGAAAAAAAGCCTCAAACCGGGGACAGTACAACCCAAGCCAGGATGTATTGTAGGTCTACCTAATAAGTATGAATTGTAAAGGAGGAATAAAAACCATGTTGGTCCAGGGAGATATGCATATTTCTCACTTGTGTTAGTGATAGTTTTTGACAAACTACGATTCCGAATGATGATTTTCTAGACAACCAGTGCCTCTCATTTTTGAAGGATTTTCGAAACACAATCCGCTTACAATATTATTATTGTTTTATTTCCTTTGATTTCTTGTGTATACACATTTCTTTCCGGGTCCCGCCCAGAGACCTAAGGTCAGAAATGGCATCATGACATTTTCCACTGAGCAATTAAAAAGAAAACTTATTTTACATAGATAAAAGCCTTTCGTAAAGTGTGAGCTGTACTCGTGAGAACAATTTTTTTTTATTTCTTTAAGGCATGGGCTACCAGGATTCCCTTTAATGAGTCTATTGGAATCTTTTCCAACCAATCCGAGGGCACCAACTACAACAGGGGTTGTTGATGTTCTCGTGTGCCTCATTTTTGAGATTTTATTATTATTATTATTATTATTATTCAGATCCATTCCAATTTGGCCATCAGTACGAGTAGACAGGTCGAGGGCTTTCGAAATGCAGTCGACTATTTCCTCAGTGCAGGTAAGCTTTGAAAAAATACCGTTCATTATTATACACTGGTTTGTTTAAACGCGTAAGACAATTTATTGGCCGTTGTAATCTCCGGCCTTCTTCAGATACCCATCGTATTTGATGCGTATATTGATTACAATCTTTTGGGAATTTTGAACGAGATCCTTTATTCATTTTAAGGGGATAGATTATTCTCGTTATTTTGTCTATATCAGTAAATTAAATCGCTTTGCGACGCTCTTTCCTCTGAACCAAAGTATGTTTAGCAGTGCTTGACCCAGGAACTGGTTTTACAGCCACTATATAACTGGATACAATTAACCAACGGTTATTTATATCCACTAAATTATTCTCCTGTAGATTATAGTAGTTTCGAGTTGGAAATGTAATGTCTGTTACTTCCTCATCAAAATATTCCATGTAGTGTTCAGTTCAGCTAGGTCTACTGAAGAACTTATTAGAATCTAGTATATGCGATGATTCTTTCAATCACCTTATTTTCACTATTGGTCTAACATAATTCCCAGATATTAATGACCATTTTTTTCTCCATACAGGATCAGCCATACCTGATTTCTTAGTATCATCATAGATTACGATTTTTGATGTTCCTCAAGCAATACATCTTTTCATTTGATAAGGGCTTATCTCTTCAAGGAATAGAACTGCTTTTGAATACTCTACTGAAACTGTATTAACCGTAGACCTTCTCAAATCTTTCCAACACATCTCAGTTGCTAAATAGAACGTAACAGTTCTCCGACTATTATTTTAATGATGTTGGCGGAGATATGCGCTCCATGAGTGCTTTCTATTTCTAAGAAATTATATATTCTAGTTTTTATAGAATTTCATCTCTACATTGATTTTTTTAAGATGAATAATACAATTTTATACCAGATGACACAGCAAATTCTAACGAAGCAAACAGCAAAATAAGGACGACCTGTATTTCAGTGCGATGAGCATCTAAAAGTGTTTTATGTATAAAACGTTTAGGATCTTCTTATTGTTGCCCATTGACTGTACCACTTCGCCACTTAGCTTGAATCATCTTCTATGCCCCTTTTACGCCTCTCACATCTCCTGGGCTATAGACTGTCAACAAATAACCCTTTTTTAATCTCTTGTCGATGTTTTCTATAACGAGAGTTTTTTTTTTTACAAAATGGTTGGAGTACTGTCACTATGGCCGGCCCTCCTTTTGCATCCGGGCTTAGGACTGGTAATGTCGAAATTAGTGCTCACACCAACAAATGGGACGTAAACTTTTTTATGTTCAAACCTAAAATTTTGCCATTCTATTTTTTTTTTTAATTACTATTTTTTTAATCATTTCACCCCAAGAAAAGCGATAATGCACACTATGATGCAAAGGATTCACTGGGAGTCAAAGAGAAGGAGAAAACTTTAGTGGGGTGAAAAGACAATAAAAAGAAAAGGGTTTAAGAAGATTGCGATTGACGTTGCATTTAGATTTTTGAAAATCGTAGATAGCAAGGAAGCAAGAAATCAGGAAATTCTCCAGGTGAAAAGTGCGAGAAAAGAAAACTATTCGAATAGAACTTACGGTTACATATAATTCAACAATAAAACGATTGCCAATCTAAATTCATGCGTTTACAATCATGCTGTACAGCTATCAAGGAGGAATAAATAGTTTTATTATGTTTCGACTCTTTGTATGTTGTGAACTGAAAATCAGAACGAAAGGGATTGTCATTGGCCAGGAAATATGAGTGAATGGGTCGTTAATCGGATTAGCGAGATATAAGATAGTGAAGAGAGCCTCAACCCTAATTCCTCTTTTTGGCCTTGTGCCATAATTGCATTTTTTATACAATAAATATCATCAGTGGCCAGGAATTAATATCAACGTTACTAACAGAGATATGTAAATTTAAATGTATTCAGCGCCTTGGCGTGTCGTGATGGTTAGCGATACTAGACGGTGATTGAAAAGTAACTCCCTATTTTATGTATGATGGACTCTCCCGTCTAATTATAATTTTTACAAGACAGGAGAGTCCATCATACATAAAACAGGGAGTTACTTTTCAATCACCCTGTAGACTGGTTAACCATTATTACTGAGTGGCATGTTCGATCCTCAGTCGGAGCCCACATTCAAAATTTGAAATTAAATAACCCATCAAAGGCTGACATGTCGTAACGTCAACCAGCCAAATCTAAAACCATTTCCAAGTTCCTCTGCGTCGGGTGATGCCTAGCAAGGCTATTCTGGGTGACCATTATTACTGAGTTGGATCCACACTTGATGCCCTATTCAATATTTCGCATCATATAATCCAACAAAGGTTGACATGTTCCAAAACCAACTAGTAAATGCGTTACTATTGATTTCATGATAGGAATATGTTGAAAATCAGAAACGAGTGATTGTCAAATTATGGCCAAAATATTATGGGATTTTTTGTTAAAAAACACAGTAATATTATCTATATTTTCACCTGACCCTTATTCTGCGAATCTTTCGGACTAATATCATCATTTTTGGGTTTTTTTATTCATCAACATAATCACAGATCATATTCTTTTTTTCGTTCTTTTTTCTGTTTTTTTTTTCCTTTCTATGTGCCATGTCCCTTCAGGGCGTGAGTGATCATGACTCTCCTCAATTTCTTATCTTTTCTAGCTTTTAGTAATTTTGTTTTTGCTATCTCTCCTAATCACTGCTCTGCAAGCCACTTACACAAGCTTGTTGGGTCAGTTTTTCGCCGCTTTCTTATGGATACGGAAAAATACTGGACAACGAACACTCTAGGTTATCATTGGATGCGAAATATATCTGATAAAGGTTCAGGGATATATTGATCAAAATTTTGTGATATATAAGATCGAAAATGAAGTTATACGTAGAATGACTAATTTGACTGCCTGCATTAATATAAAAATATCTTAGATTAATAAAAAAAAAATAAAAATAACTGATTTCTTTTTTTTATTTCTCGCAGGTATGGAGACAATGGAGGAACAAAAAAAATTCTTGTACGATACAAAAGATTATTGTATAAAACTTCTTTCATATTTCTCCTTTGAGATGAACGGCCAGGTAAGCCGCCATTTTTTTTTTTTTTTTTTCTAATCTCTTATCTTCCCAGCGGTTCAAACAAGTCAAGGATATAGAAAAACTGGCAATCTTTAACTTTCGTGCCCACAGAAAAACGGCGTGTCAAAAGGACGGTTTTACCCGTAATACCGCTATTATTTTGTACTACCTTCACTCCCTCGGCAATGTTTATTTACAAGGTTATAAAAATATGTGAACCAGATACAACGCGATATTTATTATTTACATTTTAGCATTAATACAAATATAAAATTGGATTGATGTTATATTCAGCATCCCGACTGCAGAGTTTCGTAGACGAAGCTTTGTCTAATCATTTGGTCATCTCGTCAGGAGGTTTCAGCAACTGACTACCGATTTTCTCATTTTTGTTATTTTTATATTAAGTTAAAAAATAATTTATTCGCTTTTTATTGATGTTAGGTTGATTTTTTCTTCCTATTTATGTGTGTGTATGTGTATACGTATGCGTGTTCGCGTGTTCGCCTGTGTATGTGAAAATGTGTACAATGTCGTGGTTATTTCTTATTTTCATAATTTTCTTACCTTTTTTATAAAGATTTATTATTTACCATTTTATAAAGAAATAAATGTCACTCGAGGTAGAGGGTTACATTAGGTGGCAATTTGTGCGGATAGAAGTGGAAGATAACGGCTAGTCATAGCCTTCAACAGGTTAAGATTGCAGTGATCGGGGAAACATCCTCTTGGTAGTCGGTTCCACAGAGCAGTGGTTCGCGGAAAGAAGCTGCTAGGGCGGAACTTACTTTTCACCGATGGCATACGGAGGGAATGTGGGTTGTTTGTTTAAATGTAAGTGACATGGTGGGTCCTAGCCGTGAAGGTTACAGCTGTCGAGACCAGGAAATGTAGTTCGTCCGAGCACTTTCTGTGAAAGTAGCAATAAAGCAGCGAGAAGCTTGCCACATCTCGCCTGTGGGAGAGGTTGGAGTGTGGAGAATAATTCCTCGCCCTCAAGTGCTCGGAGACGCTTTTAGACTCAAATTCGGAGAATGAGATCTAAGCAGCTCCCGCCAAAAAGCAAATTACCAAATTTTGATAAATCATAAACACTGCATTGTATTAGTTGGTCCGCATTTTTAGGATTTGCATTTTTAGAATGTTGTAAAAATAAAATTATTCTTATAAATAAACAATCTGATAAATAAAGTGTTTAATATTTTCGTTGTAAATTCTCAAGGAACAAAGAAAATGTATAAATTCACTTTCATATGTTTGGGTTCTATTAATATTCTAATTATTGCTGTTTAAAACAACACTGCCGAGGGAGTGAAGGTAGTTATGATAATAGCGGTGTCAAACTGTCCTTTTCACATACCGTTTTATTGCTAGCACGAAGATTAAAGATTGCCGAAAAATTCTTGGCCTACATCAAATAAGTGTCATTTTGTGATAAACAGCGTAATTTAACCGAACAGTATGAAAAACCATAAAAATTCCTTGAATAATGAATACAACTTCTATTCTATAATATCTGTTCCTTTTGCATAGGTTTCAGCCTTACTGTTGGTACTCATAAAAACCACGCCTCAATAAATAAATGAAAAAAATCACTTTGGCTCAATTTGATATCGTTTGTGTCTTCGCCATTCTAGTGGGGACCCAGTGGGTCACAGTTCAGCTCAAATCTTTCGATAAACAATCACCAGACTAAAAATAAAAATGTACTTTTGAGTCCCTTTCTTTTTGTCAGTTATAAAAATTTAATTAGTGGGAAATGAATGGGAAAAATTAGTAGGGATAGAATGGGAAAAGAGATCACGTGACCTCTTTTATCGCTAAAGTTGAACAAGGCGCAAATAAATAAATTTCAACCATTGCGTGAAATATAACAGAACATTTATTACAGTACATAGAAAAACATACGTTATTTACAAACAAAAGCTTTCACAAAACTTTCCTTTTGTGCGTCTTATACAAAAATAAGGCTGGATAAAAAATCAAATATACAAAACAAAATGATTCCAATTTTCGTAAATGAAAAACCAAAACATTGAAGGAGCAAAAAATTAGATAAGGCAGAAACTACACCTAATTTGTACGACGGCATCTGACAGTGTCGACATGAAGAGTTTTGTGGTTGAAGCTGATTGGTGTCACGAAAATCTTTTATGTTTTTCCTTTACAGAAAAGTTCAAATTGAGTTCTCAGTTTCTTTGAAATTCTTCACTGGAAGCAGCTCAAATGGATTTCCTCTTGGAAATTGTAACTGCCTTCCGGTTGAGATTTTGCTGTCCGCTCGTCTTTTTTTTTCTCCCTTCTGCTTTGACACTTCCTTATGCTTTGAAAATATAGATGCTTTCTGCCTTGATCTCTGAGTACTTTCTGAGCTTATCTGCTAACCTGACTCCTTTTATGAGAAAACAGGAGGCTCCCAGATATTTTAATTTCAAATTTTACAAGTGTATGAGACCACGTCTGTAATTGGTCAGTAAATACAATATATTTTACAAGGGCATGAAACCACGTCCCTGATTGGTCAGTAAATACAACAAAATGTATTTTTTTTTCAAATTATAAATATGACTCCGCAATAACTCGCAAGGTAGAAATAATCCTTGGCGGTTCTTTAAACGCTAACACTAAAAATAGAAATTTTCACACAACTGTAACATTTTTTTACAAACCGTTTGGCTTTCTTTAAAATACACTTTTCTCAGACGAACGTGTAAAATAAAAACCTACGATTATAACATTTATTTATTTACACCCTTTAACTAATTATTTATTTTATCTTACATTGCGAAAATATAAATTTTTATACATCAGTTTAATTTCTTCTTTATTCCACAAATTCTTCAGACTAGTATTTTCATCATTGTTGTTTCTCGACCGTTGTTCTTCAGCCTTCATCAGTAGACATTAATTAATTAATTTTCTTTGTTTTACTTCTTTGATAAAAAAAAAACAACTCAGTTTACATATCCTATTGAGGAAGAAAGGACGAAAAGTATTATCAATGCATCCAAATGCAATATACATCCAAGGAAAGTCGAAATATGTATCGATAAAAACCTTATTATAAAAACCTTAAAATGGAAGTCACTAGTCTGAAAATACACGGTATCCACAGCTTCACACACAACATTCACTGAAGTATTTTTTAATCAACGATATAAAAAAAATGAAAACCAATTATTTCGGTGTCTTTCGCAGGGATCGATCCAGCAGTTCTTTTTAATGTGGTCCCAGTTTCTCCATGAATGCAAGCACTATTGGAAAATCTCTCACCAACGCTTGGCAGAGGAGCGTTTTCGTAAAGGGTTGAACCAGAAAATCAAAATGGTGAGTAATTAATAACAGATTTCGATGCAGTATACAATAGATTGGTCCACACATAAAAAAAATAGGGAAAACGTTTTTGGAAATAATACTTTTAAACCAACATTCTTTAGACCTTCCTTAGACCGAAACACTTGTCAGGATTTAAAAATATCAATTAGTTATCGATTAAAATGCGGTTCATTTTTTTCACCAAAAACCGTAGGTGGCAAAGGGTGACATTTGTAGTCCGGTCCTTAGGCGGGGTTAAATAATGGAAACAGCAAACAAATAACTACGAAGACGAATGAACACAATTTGAGTTAAGGACGACTGCAATAATGACTCGTTTAGACTTGTTGCTTTCCGTTCGAATCTGTTGTTATATTCTAATATTTAAATCAACAAATTTTGAATAATGCCATAGAGAATAGAAGGAAGTAATTTTTCAGGCACTGCACAAATTCTAAAGCTATAAACATGCGAAAATGAACGTAACAGACGGGGCTTGAATTTGAACTTGGCTTGCCAATTCCGCTTTTGGCACAGATATCCCTTCAATACCTCGTTACGTTATTTAATAAAATATGGAACTGCTCTCATCCTTAAGGCTTGCTGAGTTTATCTAGAATTTATGTCGACGTATTTTAAATGACAATATATGAAAAAGAAAATCAGTGTAGATATATTGCGAAGATAATGCAATGTCTTCATTATCTTTTTGTATTAAATAAAGTCAGGATCCAACTGCATGTTCCATTACTTCCTGGTTAATCACATCCGGCTGTTCTAGAACCGTACCGGATTATCCGCTTTGTCCGATCAACAGAAATTGCGTAATAACAATTCAATAATAAACCTACTAATTATGCTTCTCTCGTGTCTCTATAGCATTCCAGACTGTTAGAATTTGTACTAAACTATTACTTAACGTAATTACTCATGGATTAAATGATTGAATACATCTGGCAACCAGATGAAATTCAAATACTTGCTCGTAATTTTGTTCGATTAAACGTTACCGGACTATCGGTTGTCGGAAAATGTTTACTTCGCAATAATGCCTTTAGGAAATTCATCTCTTGTCCTCTATTCCATCTATCGGTTAAATAACAGAGTAAACTAGATTATCTAGCTTTGGTTGACAGTCTATAAGAAGTGGAAGAGTTGGACGTGGGACTAACAACTTTACTTGCTACTGAAATTACAACATAATTTGTACTTACAGTCTTAGCCTCCACAAGGAGTGTTTTGTTGTTTAATTTTTCTATTGTATTTTTTTCAATTATGTATATCTGAATGAAAATTCATTTGGACTTACAACTACTAGAATTGCGTCGGACTTACAAGTGGCCCCTCGACAACACCGAAATCTTGCGCTTCCACTAACCTCGTGGGGCAGCAATGCCAAGTGGATAAACTGTCTGAAGTTCAGGGGTTTTTTTTTGGGGGGCTTTCCTGTTTTGTTCAAGTCATCTCGCCCTTTTCAGACGTTGATGTTGTCAGTATGGTAGACAAGTTTTTATTTTGTTTTGTTTTTTTGCGGCATCCTGGCATTTTTGGGAAAGGTGTACTTCATCTTAAACGGAAGTGAACTCGTCTACAAAACGGTTAGAAGGAGTTAGACCGCGAGGGGAAAATGTGTCAAATATTTATACTTTGTTGTTGTTTTTTTTGTTTTTTTTTTTGTACTTTTTTTTTTGTTGTTTTTTTTTTTGTTTTTTGTACACATATTATATATTCTATAAACGCTTTAAGCTGTCCTAGACTGGGACGAAAAATATTTTATTTAATGTGTGCTGTTTCTTTTGAGTTATCTTTTCATTGAGCACTATATAGTATCTTGGTATTTTCTAATAATATTGGCGCTTACTGCCATATCACGTTGAAATATCAGTTCCCGTACGATCACCAAAGTTAAGCAACGTCAAGCCTGATAAGTACCAAGATGGGTGACAGCTTGGGAATACCAGCTGCTGTAAGCTTGGATGTGCAGGCGATGTAATGGATAATGGCTCGGAATTGTTAATTTAAGTTCCAATTCCTATTGGGTTTGTTATATCCACTTACGCGCAAATGCCCTTGGGAAAACTTTGAATGTACCTCATATTCCCTCCTTATCTAAGGGTTAATTAGTAAGACTTATATTACTAAACTATTATTATTTCAACAATAAAAAAATTCTTAGCGTCTAAAAAGTATTTCCTGGCTTTAAATAACCTGCAAAGGGTTTGTAAGTCGTAAAAAACTAATGTGTTTTATAGTGATAAATGTATCTTTGTTGTTTGTGATATGATGATCGATATTTGCACGAATTGTTCTAAGCGTGTGTGTCTACGTGTGATTTTAAGTAAAATTGTGTTAATTTATAGACATATTTTGTCAAAGAATAAAATATTCAATCCATTTTCGCCTCGAAATATTTTTATTTACTATGCTTATAAAATACGTAAACATTTAAAAACATTCGTACGATATAAATGTCAATATATATATTTATCTATTAAGCCTAGTTTGACACAAGGTCTTATATAAAGAGTTTGTTACATGCACAGTTGTCTGTGAGATTAGCTTACCATCGTTCTACGACTACATGTAATTGTGTGCTATTTCTTTTATTTTTCAGATGAATATTAACAACATGGATAAATTTACCATTCCTTCTAGCTGTCCAGACCTTCCCCCAAGAATTCGAAAGCCAAAATCCTCAACCGAAAAACATCCACCGCCTCCCATCAACATAACACACAAAAAATGGGAAGACGTGAGTAGTGAAAACCTGCGCCTGCACCAATTGGGAACGGCGTCCCACAATCATCAGAACGGATGTAGTAATAATGATACGAGCAATCAGTTCCACCATCAGCACCTGTCCTCGAGCACGCTGCCCACGTCAAGTCAGTCGAACACCAACAGTCAGCATAGTCAGCATAGCCAGCATATCAAAGCCTACAAGAGCAGAGAGGATCTGCACGATTTCCACGCTCAGCCTTCACCCAAGCCTCTCACCTCCCGACCGCCGACTACATCGGACATTCACAAACCAAAGCCGCTCAATCCTGTGCCGACCAGTCACGAAGGCAGTCCACTGCTCGGACTTTGCCACAAGCCACCGATGACCAACAACGTTGCATCCCACAACTATATGAATCAGAGCCCGCTTGCTGTTCGACCGACCAGCTCTCCGGTAGTCGCAAACTCGGGGACGACCACCAACCCTATGGAAGTCGCCGAGGTCGCGCCTAAACGGCCACCACCACCTCATCTCCATCATCACCAAGCGAACACTCTGACATCACGTGAGACCACCGGTGTTGCTGTCCCATCAACCGCAACAACACCGATGGTACACAGTGTCAGCAATAGCAACAGCAGCCACCATCACCATCACTCTTCTTCGACGGGCACAAGCGTCAGTAGTAGTGGCGGGACCAACAAAAACGGTACTAACAACAACGGTACAACAATGAACGGTCACCTTGAGTCAACAGTGCAGAAAAAATCTACACACCAACTTTTCAAGTCTTGGTTAAAACGGGAGCAAACGAAGACAAACAGCGGCGAGCAAAGTACTTTAAGCTGTAAATTATCGTCTAATGATAAGTCGAAGGTGACCGCTTTCAAGCCGGTCGGTCACGGCGCAGAAGAGCCAGTAAGGGCACCAAAGATTTATACCAGAGCGAAGACATCGCTATCAGATAATCGAGATGGTCACCACAGTTCTCACGATCTAACTTCATCGGGAAATAGTTCCAAAAGCGGCTCGACTTCCAGTGGCCAAGAACTCGGTAATTCCAACGCGAAACAATGTCAGTCTCATTCTAACTCTTCCACTAATAGACACGGATCGAAGGACCAACTATACTCGCCTCGCTACGAACAGAGTCCAGTGTCAAACAGCGAAAAGCTAACAACACTGACAAGCGAGAAAAAACCTGCGAACGGAGAAGAGAACTCACAGCACCAGACATCGAGAAACCACTACCAGCATTTCAGTGGGCCTTCGTCTCCACAGAAGAGTGCCTCAGATTCTGGTCCCTGGAACAACGGACATTTGCCTCTCACTTCCACGTTAACCTCATCGGCATCCTCTCACAGAAACTACCAAAATGACGTAGAGCTTATTACAAGCTCCTCGACAACTCCGAAATCTTACACATCAAATAACCAACTGGGGCAGCAGTACCATAATATCAACGGTAGCAATTCGAACAATAAACCAAGGGACCGCGCGCCTATAGCTTTGGGTGGCAATGTAGGCATCTCAGATATTCACCGGTCAGAACTCCTGGCGAAGAACGGGGTCACCGATTCGGTCGGCTGTGATCGAACTGTCGAGAAAGTTTCCAGTCACCCTGTACCCACTGGTCATAGTCATTCGAAGAGTAACAGCGCAACGGTTTCCAGTATGGGGAGTTACGCCCATGAGATTCAAACTAAGAGTCGAAAATATTTCACGACAAATGCAGCCCAACAATCGACTACAAATAACATGAGTGGTGTTCTTGGATGCAGAAGCCAGAGTAGTCATATTCTCAAGAATCTGTCCGGAATTTCGTCAGATCCCCGCGGGGGCGGAACGCAAGGAAGTTCTCTTGGCAGCAGTGGTAACACTAACGGTAACAGCGGCCAACACCGAAGTTCCAGCGCTTACAGCTACTCCCAGAAAATGGCCCGAGAAGAGGCAGCGGCGGCTGCTTCCACAAGAACAGGCCACCACACTGAAGGGCGCTCTTCAAAGCTAGTCGCAGCCAATGGCGACAGGCTACCAACGAGTGCTCCATCAATCAGTTCCCTGATTGAACGCTTCGAGAAAGTTCAGTATGTAGGTGATTCGTCAGTCAAGAACACGTCGTCAAAAACGAATGGAGCTAACAACTGTAATGTGAAACATATGGCATTGGCCTCTACCCCAGTTTCCTCTCGAAAAAGACTTTTCGGTGAAGTAGGCGGTACCACTTCGACGTCAACAACTCATGCAGGTACAAATAAATCAAAAAGTAACGTTGAGGATGCAGACAGCTCTGAAGACGAATACGCCGTTCAACTTGACCGGTCTGTAAGTCCCCACCAAAATCTCAACTCAGAAGATTCAAACAGGAGGCAGAGATATCAGACGATGGATCTTGCCAATAGAAGAAAACCTGTTCAAAATGAATACTCACCTGTTAATGACGAGAATGCAAACTCACTCCTTCCTGCCTCTTACGACACGGATAATTTCGATCCAACCAATGACTATACACATCAACTGAGGGAGTCGTCCAAATCCAGTAATATTTTATCAGAAAGATATCCCAATATACAACAAGCACCTGAACGACCACCTCCCTTGGTGACATCATCAACTGCTATGGCATTAGCCAATCAAAAAGGACAAAATAAAAGAGTCATCCGAGCGCATGAAAATATGGCTTACATGGCTGTCTGAGATAAGCTAACTGCAAACAAGAGATCAAAATTAATTTCTAACATAGACAAATATTATATAAATATATATATATATATATATATATATATATATATATATATATATATATATATATATATATATATATACAAATGTAAACATAAATTTGAACATTTTGAAACATTTTTACAATAAAGAAAACGCATAAAAAATATTTTATATATCACCATTAAAGAATTTAGGTCATTTTAAATAAAAATTTTTAAAAAAGCTTCGAAAAAAAAAACTTTTAAAACAGTTTTGTTTGAGTTTATCGTTTTCTTTTTCATAGCTTTGATATAGAGCTTTGCGAGAAAACAAAGAACCAACAAGTGCTTCTTCTTCTTCTTCTTCTTCTTCTTCTTCTTCTTCTTCTTCTTCTTCTATGTGCCGTGTCCCTTCAGGGTATGGGTAATTATGCCTCTCCACAATTTCCTGCCCTTTGTCGGTGTTAGTAAATTTCGTCTTTTCTCTATCTCTCCTAATCCCTGTTCTTCCAACCATTTACACAAGCTCGTTAGGAAAGATTATTCGCTACTTTCCTCTGTCCATTTTGCCTTCATTATGTGCTGTGAGTGTCAAATTTTCTAAGCTCTCTTTCCTCATTATATGTCCAGGTAATCATAACTCTCTCTTTCTGTTTCTATATATAAGTGTCCTTTTTGTTTGCATTTTCTTTACATTTCTGTTGATTCAAGTCTCTTCCTCATCTGTGAGGAGATTGTCCAGCATTCATTGGCACAAACGAGGACTGGTCTTACCTAACACTCCAGTGCTTTTTTCGGTGAAAATATTTGATTTTATTAAATTCCCTTTAAACTCATTGAACTCACATTAACTTCTCCAGCAAAAAAAATCATTATAAATATCAAGTACAATATTAAAAAACTGAATTCAATTTTCATTCTAACGAGTATCCTGATGTTTATTGTTTTGCTCGCTATCTTTCGACTGATGCATTATCCGGCAATCCCCGACTGCATGTCTTGTCAGGTAATTTTGTTTTGTTTTTTTAATCATTTCACCACAAGGTGATAATGCCACTAAGCCGCAAGAGGTTACTGGGAGTGAAAGAGAATGAAAAGATTTTAAAAGGAGCCGGAAATCCAAAAACAGATAGCAAGGGGTAAACCCTTGCTCCTGTTAAAAACAAAAAAAAACGAGGAAGAGTGTACCAAATACAGTTACAAGCATTACTTCCTTCAGTTCCCCCCACCTCAACATTTGGGGCTTATTTGGCACGGCACGGTTATTATTTTCAAAATGTGGCGACATTGTTTTGTTCCAAGAGACAAAGATTCTTCGCTTATGTCCTAAGTTGTAAAATCATTACTTGCATTATTTACATTATTCGGACTGTTATCCTCATCTCTATTACGATATTCACAACGTTTCATCCGTTGTACGATCCGGCCTTCTTCAGGTGATTGGAATTTCGAACCGAACTCTTTATTTCGTCCACCGGGGTAGATTGTTCTAGTTCCACGTGCCATGCCAGATGTCTCATTTATTTCCCTTTAACTCAACTCACCAAGTTTTTGGTTCACTACTGTTGCGGCCTGGTATTGAACTCACAACACTTTGGGTTTAGTCACTGAATCTAACTAATGTCTTTATCCACTGGGCCAGTGAATAAAGACGTTCAGTTCGAAATTACAATCACCTGAAGAAGGACGGAGCGTAAAACGGCCGAAACGTTGTAAATATGGCAATGAAGATGAGGATAACAGTCCGAATAATGTAAATAATTCAAGTAATCAAAATACCTCATCTCAAAGATATAGACAGATATTGTAAAATCCTCCCCGGCATAACTCTTCCAAGCGGCACTTGAATTTCGTACAAGATAGTCATCTTGAAATAAATCCTTTTATCTCATTGGCCAGTTTATTATTTTTTTTAAACTTTCACCATCATTTCAATTAACATTCTTCGTCCACTGACCAGATTCTCGAGGTGATAGACGTGGGGTGCACAGTGATAATCGCATTTCTTACCCAAGCAGATTGATCTTCAGGACGAATTTGTTAACTCTGACAACCACTTCAATAAGCCACAGTTTTTTTGTTTTTTTTTAGCAAGAAAGGTTGAAATGCTCGGAATCCTAGTCACTCTTCGTCTGAATTTTCAACTTATGAAAGCGTTTTTATAACAATCTGTTTCATCCGGGGAAAATGTGTAACTGCCATAAAAAAAAATGATTTTTGTTTTTTAACTTGCTATTTTAAAAAAATAAATTATAGACATTTCTTAAGCTTTGTTTTATACTGAACTGTAGTAAATTAAAGATGGAAGGTTGTGTTGCGCGGATTTTAACTTCTTACCTTGAAAATTAGCATTCAAAATCGTAAATTCGAATATCAACCACTGACGTCTGTAATACATACCTATTTAAAATGGATAAAATAATTACAGGGATTAGCTTACGCTGGTATAAGGCCACAAGTGCTGAGTACCCAATGAGAATAGAACTTACAAAAGATACAGGTTGAAATTAACTCATCCAGGGTTCACTTTGCCGGCAACTTCAATTATCCGGGTTGGTAATTTTAATCCGGCGATTATTTAGGTATGAACAAAATGTTTTGGCGGGAAATCGGCACTTAAAGTGGGTGGCAACAAACTTCTGTAGAAGTTCACAATTTTATCATCAACAACTCACCGCAAAATAAAGAAAAGTTGGAACTGGAGATAATTTTGAAAAGTGATAGTGTGGAAAGTTGTTCACCGAGAAACTAGAATTCGGTTGATTCTATTTGACGTCAGAAAATGAGGAAAGTGAAGCGTCTCAAATAAGGTTAATTCCTCGTAGCCGTTGGCCGTAGCGGGATGCCGCTGAGCTGGCAAAACTGATCCTCTTTTATGGATTTTGAAATACTTAATTCTTCTAAATATGAAAAGTCATAAATCACAACTCCCAATCCTAAAATATTGTGGTCAAAACTGATCGGAGACAGATATGGGTCTCACCCTCAAGTACTCTGAGCTATCAAACCCAATTAAAGAGTCACTTCTCTACTCCCAGCTGGTTTAGTGAACACAGCCGTTTTTCTGCCTTAAATTGTCAATAATACGGAAAACTCGCTACTCCGGACTTTGTCGGGTTCCATGCTTGCCAGATTAGCGAGATCTAATCTGTATTTACAATGCTTACCTGAGTACAACACAGGGTCACAAAAGTAGGTACCCGAATGAGGATCGAACTCACAATAATGAGTAATTTTCTGTAAAAACTAGCTGACAAACAACTACTCAACAACGAAACGTTTGTTATTATAATGTATTACTTCAAATGTTATATTTACTAGATACACGTGTTTGAGTAGACGTAGCTGCTTTTTTTGTATTTTGTTTTATTTTTTGTTTTTTCTAATTTGTTTTAGCTGTGAAATTAATGTCAAACGCTCTAGAGATAAGAAAGTCGTGATATGTTTCCTGATAGGAATCGAACCCACATTTCATTTTTCCATCAGTAAAACCACTTTTAAATCAAATATGCCTTACCCCTTAGACTACGGAAATTCATCAAGAAGGTGGGGGTGGGGGGTATCCCGGCATCGGAGCAACGGGTCATTTACACTTTTTCTTTATACTTATGTTCAATAAAGAACAGTGCAGCTGCTGTTTATAACCCCGACTTTATGTTCCTGTATCATTTTTATGTATCGTATACCCTTAGGAAATGAGCAATCATGGTCCTCCATATCTTCCTGCCCTTTGTAACTTTAAGCAATGTTTATCCTTTTAGCATCCTTCCCAGTCCTCGCTCTATCATCCATTTACTCAGTCGATTGCTTACTCGCAGTTTCTTGCCTTTAATATGCCAAATGAGTGTTAAATTCTCCGAGTCCTCTTTCTTCATTATCTGTCCCATAATTTTCAGTTGTCACTTTTGGATTGCGTGTTTTTTTCTTTTACTATTTTGTTACCATATGAAAAAAAGACTACTATTCATTGTTAGTGCCTACGTAACATGATTGCCAGTAAGATATTCCAACTGACCGCCTTTGGGAAAATATCAGCTTTACCCCCCGACTAGAAAAGTAGTAGCTTGACACCCACACCTTAGAAATTGGCAGCTTGAAACCCTCCTGGAAAAGTAGTAGCTTGCACATCCAGCGGTCGTCATTTTTTAATGCGTTATGTCAAATCATATTTAGATTTTCTGCGATGTGGTTTTCAGGCAGGAAAGAAGAAACCAGAAATATATTGGAAGCGAAAGTTAAATCGTTATTCAGAATTTACAGCACAGTGACCATTGATTCCATCAGAGGAACCTTCCATCCTGGTCATTGACCTCCGTCAAAGAAGAAAGCGGGGTCTTGGATATACTGCTTGTATTTCAGTCCCATGTGCAGATTAATCCTGCAGCCGCTCGAAATTTACAGATATTTAATATGTAAGTCAAGTTTGCTACTTCCATTGAGGATTGAACTCCCGACAGTCTATTTGCTAATCATTGATTTGTGAAAAGAATGTGCCTTGGGCCTCTCTATACTGATGATACAATAGTATATGGATGCACCTCCATAATTCAAATGACCAGAGAATTGACAGCTGATCTTTCCTCTTTAACAGCTCAGTGGGGAAAAACTGTCTGGTTACATTTAATACCTCGGAAACCAAAACTAGTTACATTCTATTCTCACCGATCGGACTCCAAACTATCACTAATCACGATGAACGGTTGTTCCCCCAGGGAAGCCACGTATCTTGAGAGTCTATTGAGACTTAAACTCAACTCAGACGCTCCAGTAAGTACCTGACTCCTCATGCTATCGTCTACCTTTATAATAACTAGATCAGGACGGAAGTATTGTTACCATATTTGGTCAGGAGCTGCCCAGTCCTCACTTTTCCGTCTGGATAGAGTTAAAAAGTGTCTCCGATTCGTTGTTGGAGAAGAATTAAATCGCCCCGTCTAACCTCTCTCTCACACACACACACACACACGGGATGTGGCGAGTCTCTCATTGCTCTAT